GGGGGTGGGGAAGTGCCACTGGAAGGCGGTACCGAACATGCAGACAAAGTCGAGCTCGAAGTGAGGTTGTCCCAGGGGCGAGAATGGGTCCTTGCCTCCATTGGCGGCTTTCGCCTTGCGATATTCGGCGTCCTTCTCGAGGTACTTGTCGATACGGGGGAATCCCACCAGCTCGAGGAGACCGGAGCCAACGGGGCCGGAGCGGTTCTTGTTATAAGCGGCAACGACGGCTTCCTTCTTAGGGCCGTTACGCAGCAGAACGTCATCCATACCGAAGCCGTCTTTGACGCGTAGGACGAAGGGAACACCGGGGTGGTCCATCAGGTTCTGGCCGACGTGGCGGGAATCGACAATGGTGTTGATACCGTGTCTGGAGAGCTCCCGGTTGGGTCCAATACCACTCAGCATAAGCAGCTTAGGGGTCTCAAAGACGCCTTGGGAAAGGATGACTTCACGGTCCGCGAAGAAGTTAAGTTCGTTACCAGCGGCAGTAACGACAGTTACACCCTTGCAAGTGCGGTCGGCCTCATTAATGATAAGGCGCTTAGAATGAACCTCGGGAACGATGGTGATGTTAGGCTTATTCTTGACAAACAGGAAACTGCCAGATCGCTGGCCACGGTAGATGGTATCACAGCAGTGGGTAAGACCATCCATTTCACCATCATAGATGTTTTCAATCAGAGGCTGACCCATGGACTTCCAAGCTTTAGTGAGGTTCTCTCTGAAGGGAGCCATCTCATCAATCAACTCAGCATGAGAGATTGGGATAGGGCCACCAGTGCCAATCTTCTCAAGTTCAGGCGAGTAGAGCCTAGGATCGTCGTGGTAGGTAGCACTCTTGCGAAGGTAGGGAACAAGGGGATCCCATGTCCACTCCTTGCCGCCAAATTCGTCCCATTGATCAAAAGTAGCTTTGTGTCCTGGAACCCATGTGAAATAATTAAGGGATGAGCTGCCACCAAGGGTCTTTCCACGAGTATTCGGCTTCTCGATACGTTCGTAGTCATCGCGCCTAACCATGGTGGTTTTATAGGCCCAGTCGTACTTGCTGTTACGAAGGTCCATGGCAGAGGAAGGTGTAGTAATCTCCGGGATGTCCTGAGGGTTCCCAATACCCGCCTCGACGATCAAGACCGTGACATTGGGGTTTTCAGCAAGACGGCCGGCCACGGTGTTACCGGCCGTGCCGCCGCCAACAATAACGAAGTCGAAGTGGGATCCGTCGGTAGCCATGACCGCAAGATCAGAAGAGCAATATCAAAAGAAGTCTTGTAGAGAGTCAATGAATCTTCTGTGATGAGTAGACAAATTACCATCATTCAGCGGAGATTCTATACCCTTTTATAGACTTCTTCCTCCTTTTCCCCGCATGGTACCTTTGCAACGTGAGAGTTTATCGACTTCAATACTAGACGAGTCATGAATCATGATAACATCACGGTGCTCCTGCATTGGACTATTGCAGGGCCAGAATGTCCGTTGTCTCTTCCTATTGCAGTTGGTATACAGAGACACGGATGGAACAAACCTCATATGCGTGGAAGTAAAATTAGGGTGGATCCGCGGCGGGTCCACACTTTGGACTCGCATAAATGCCGAAGCTTGCCGGCGATTATTGGTCCAGTACTACTTCCCTAAAGGGTACTACTACTTTTTACATGCACTCAAAGATTATCAGTTAAGATTATCAAGGATCTGATTAACTCGTTAAACTTCAGGGGGTAAGCGGATGTAGTCACTACGTGAGCGGATATCAGGGGTTTTGGACTCAAATTCGATGGGAACAGAGGCAGGATAGACTCGGCCTCGGGGTGACACTGCAGATCAATCACGATTAAGACTATAACTTTGTCTCTTGCCACTTGGCACTGAAGAGCCCCCCCGCACAGATGAACAAGAGCCCAGCCGCCCCATGAGTCTTACAATTGCTGTGATCTCAGGTAACGCGACCAGTATACAAATTGGCGGACGCAGCAAGCTCTTACTGGAGTCTTTGACACCTTTTCACGAACCACGGGACAAATTGACAGGATCTGTCTGACAGATTCTGAAATGGCACAAGGAGACACGTAAGGCAGAGCTGCGGAACTAGGTTCGTGAGTTCCCAGGGAATCAGACTTCCGCGATGGCTAGCCCTATTGTAAGCCAAGAACGACATCAGAAGACGTGTGGGTCCTGCGATAAATCAATTGTACGGAGTATGAGATCATAGACTTGGTTGCTCCATTTTTAAACGAGTCTTAAATAAACATATGTGCTTTCCACTGGATCTAGACTTTACCCAGCCACGCTTTCATGCGCACGGGGTTGTATCATTGGTTCGCCGCCTTGGCCACCCCAGAACAGGCCGATCTGATAACAAAGAAGTTAGTGGATAGAATATATTTATGCATGACTTAAGAATTAACCTACTCAGAACGTTCACAATTCTGCTAACCCCTCACAAGAAATTAACCGCGGTAACTTCGGAGTTCCCTACGACAACTGGTAGTCTGTCATGGCGTGGGACCACGTCACGCATAAAAATGAAGAGGAGGCCTGGATGATCCCTCAGTAGCTACAGGGACAAGCATTGTGGAACTTACTTCCTTAGCGAAGAACCTTGGGGGACCCCGCAACCATCGACAATTCCTGATTCATCAACAGGCCCACTTTTAAAATACCTGCTCATCGCCGGGACGCATAGTCCATAAATCCAAAGAATCCTCAACCTCTTGGAATCGACCCTGCCACTCCGATAAATCCTGACCCACTGTGGACCGCGGGCACGCCTGCTATTCCCACCCAAGCAATTGCTGAGGTCGATATCTCCGATGGCACTATCGTGTCCATTGGAAGGGAAGGTCCGTAAGCTAGTCCGACATGATGAGAAGCGGCAAATATAATAAAGTGTAGTATTGAGGGGTTTCCTGTGAGAGGCTATCCACCAGTAAGTGAAATGTAAAATGTCATAAGTTGGTCAGACCGGCTCAGATATCCAGAGCCGGTTCGGGAGTATTGGTTCCTCGTTCACAATGCAAAGCTTTTCCGTAAATGACATCAGTCTAACTAGTCTTAAACAGTGTACGTCGCCATATGCACGGGATTGGGGCTAAAGGGGCGTGGCTAATAAAGCCTAATCTGATTGCATGTCACTAGAGAGATCTAGACTGATATTGACGGGCTATTGAGGAGGTATATTGGCTTGAAATGGTGATCCTTAGCGGTGTTGTTCGCCCCTCCTGTGCTAACAGAAGAGACTATAGCAGGCTGTGCATACTTATTGGCGGCATGGAGTTAACGTACACACACCACTAGTACAATTGGTGGTTTATTTATGCATTTACTTTGAGCGCGTGTAGGGTATGGGTCCACCATGGCAGGGTATGATGACGCTGCTGTATTCGGCTTGTCATGCGAGTCAGGTTACTTTGATTCTGTCGTATTTGTCACCTTTATTCCCAAAAAAGCATAGATTCATAGTAACTTTGGCTATAAACATCCATAACCCTGTTCAGGTCACGGTTGAATAGTTTCAATGAAAGATTAGATCTCGGATTTGAATACGCTGGTGAGTTATTTAGAACCCCCCTTGTCTTTCCCGTATCAACCTCGTGACGGTTTCTCTGACAGGCTTTAGACTTGAGTTGGCTCCTATATCCGCGGCGGAGGGGTAGCTGATCCACAAGCACGTGGTGGAAGTTGGATAGGCTGAAACAACCGACCACATCGCGCGTATTGTGGAGGTGAATCAGCCAAAGTATGCTTTGGAATCCGAACCGTAGCGGGATACCTCATCCACCCTACCGGCTAGGAGTACTTTGGAAGCCAGTTGATCTTAATCTTAACTGGCCCACTAGGAATAAGGCAAATCTGAAAATAGGAAACAGTTTCTCGGATATCTATGGACTACAACGTATTTTAACCCTGAATGTAACCTTGACTTGACGCCTTTCTGGCTCCGCCATAGGGTTCCCAACGGATAGGTGTGCTTGATCCATTCGTCTCTGGGGATCGTGAGGAGTTACTCTTGAAATCAAGGAGAAATACCCCTAGTCTTTCTGCTAAAATGCATCGCAAGACCAGGATCGATCTTCATTGGTCAATTCTACACACTAGGCCATGTTATATGATCGCGGGAGAAAAAGTATAGTTGTAGGAGCAAGCCTAACTAAAGGTAGGTGTCTGCTTAAGCACTAGTTACTACCAGCCGCTGGAATATTTTGAACTTATTCGATGTAGTAACTCACTGGACATACTAGTGGGAATACAGAATACAGGTAGTCACTGTGTGCAATGAGAAATAGGATAAGCCAAAGCAAACACCTTATTATTTCCCTCCGAATGGGATATTCTCCTTCTTGGGTGCAGCAACGGAAGGGCCAGGTTGTAGTAGACGACTCAGATCAAGAGGTGGACTGGGGTTTTCGGCGATCAGCGAATACCCTTGCATCCCGTGCAACTTCGCATAAACAGACAGCAGAGTGGTTCGGAATTCGTCAATTGTAATTCCCGTCATTTCTAAGTCTCCCCAAGTTGTCAGAACCCACGTACAAGTTTCTGAAGTAGAACAGGAAGTTTACCGAGTAATCCTGACGCTCTCACCGCGGTTGGCTTCAGAAGTGACGGACGGGATATACTTAGGAAACCGACTTGGATACAAGAGTCTGGACCTTCATCCACGTACTTCGGGGAATTTGGAGAATAGTTTGAAACCGGTTCACGGCGTATTGAAGAAGGGAGCCTATCTGAAAGACTTGGGTACAGTACTTGAAGATGGATGGTGTTGGGAGATGGAAGACCTGGAGATAGGAAAAGAAGGTGAAAGGAAGGTGCAAGGAAAGTGGAACAAAAGTGGAAGCAAGGCGGTGGGTGTTACGAGGCAGTGACGAAGAGTGAATTAGCGAGATATTACAACAGAATGATCTCCCAAACAGTGAATCCGGCCTAGCATAGCTGAGTGGCTGACTCACAGTATCTCAGACAAATATTGCCTCATAACTCGGCTAACATGCAGTTCAATCAGCCGGGGTCTTCCAAGAGGACTTCCAACCAGTGCTCTCAAAAGGCCACCCAACCAGCCCAATACTAAGTCTCGGGCTCGCTGCAATCTCTTTCTCTTGGGCCTTGAGTTCGTCAACGTCCCAGTTCGCCCACAGAAATTTGCCCCTCAAGAAACGTGCCTCGCGGCTTGCGAGCCAAACATTGAAGCTTGCTGGCAGAGAAACTGACACAGAGTTAGTATAAGGTCCAATTCCAAGGAACCATCATTCCACTGACCATCATCCGCGAAGCCCATAGCAGCAACACCTCCCGCTTCCCTATTCATCGCCGTGTCCACTACGCCAGGCTGTACATGAAAAATGCTTAGTTCCGGATTCGCAAAAGCCAAAGAATCCCAAAGTCGAAAGACCGCCAACTTAGCAATGCTATAGGCAGCAAACCCCGGAGCAAAATTGACATGTGCCGCAGACGAAGAAGTCTCAATAGCGACCGCATCCTTGGACGCATAGCGAAGGAATGCCTGAGCGACATTCAATGATCCTTTCAGGTTCTGGTGAATGGCATCGAGAAATTTGTCACCGTCCACATCACCCACGGCATCCTGGGGCCCAATCACCGCCGCGTTACTGACCAGAATGTGGACATTTCCGTCGCCGACAAATCTTGCGAAGGCTTTATCCACTTCATTCTTCTTTGTGACGTCGGTAGACGCTGCGAATACCTCCACGCCAGAGAATTCGCTGTCGATGGATGCTTTCGTGTCGAGAAGGGGCTGTTTTCTACGTCCAGTGAGGATGATACGAGAGGCCCCTGCCTCTGCGAAATGGAGAGCAGTCTCTGCGCCGATGCCAGTTCCGCCTCCAGTTATCACGATGGTCTTTCCTTTGGCGGAAAGCTCCGGGCGGGTGGGAGATATGGATGCGTATGTTTTTGTGTGCCACTTTGACGTTGGGGATGGAAAGGGAGCCATGCTGATTGTAAAGTGTATGGGGAATTGGTAACAGTAATGAGTAGAATAGAATGATTGCTCGAATAGAAAGATATTTGTCAGAGCAATGTTCACATTTAAGTATTCTCCATTTCATTACCTCCAATTTCATAGCGGAGTTGTGCAATTTGTTAAAGATTGCCTGGTCACCATGTCTACGAAGCTATATGGGCTCTACAGTCACTCTGACTTCCAAATCCAATCTTGCGAAAGAAATATTAATTCAAGTGTCTTGGAATCCAAGCGGCAAGACAGTTACAAAATGTTCCGGGATACTTTTGCAGGTACAGATTGTCCCGCCTCTAAATCTTAAGCTTTCGCCAACGGACTATTTTTAGTAAAGGATTCCAGTGCTGACAAATGCTAACAAAAATGGCGCCTTTATATCAGGCACGAAACAACTACACTTAATTCTACTACGGGTCGAATTTGAAATGTACGAAGGACATCTGGAATCTGTTTTACGGTGTGGACGTTGCAATAAACCTTTCGATAAGGGTGAGTTTGTATTCCCACGAGGTTTACTCCCTGCCACAGGACCCTGTATTAAGATGTGATGCCCTAGAGACCACTCTGAAGAGACATGGGTATTACTGTCGATCCCGAAGAGTTGGCAGTGCCATTCGGACTCGATCTTGTATCACATGCGTGAGGGGCAAGGCGCGCTGCGATAATAAGCGCCCTGAATGTTCGAGGTGCAAAACCAAAGGCGTTGAATGCCATTATCCAAGTAAAACGTCCAAGGTTTTAGGGCCAGGGGGTCAGCAGCGTGAGAACAATGCACAGACCGATCAACTGAAGCCAGTCTCTCCGTCGGTGCCAGGTATTCCAGGGGTTGAAAATTTTCTAGAAGGGAACAACGACGGTGATATGCCTCTCGATAGGGCCCTAATGATCGCAGACACCGAATCCACCGCTCTTGAAGGGAGATACGGTGATGAGATCGTACTGGACCTTGATTTCACTAATTTCCTAAATACGCATATAGATGACGATAACATGCAATATACTGCATCAGGGTCGTCATCTTTCGTTTATCACTCCACATCTTCGGCCGATGGAATAGTTCCAGAACACCACCCTGGATCTTCTCCAAATCTATCCATACCACCAGGACCAACTCAATTTATCAGATCGCTTGTCCAGCGGCCATATATGGGAGCCGGGGCCCACAGAATCGCAAAGCTCATACTCCACAATCTCAGATCCTATCCCCAGATGGTGCTGCGTCACAACACACTTCCGCCCTTTATCCATCCCTCTGTGGTATCTTCCGATTTTGGTAACCCTGATCCGGAGTCACTAACCAATTGTATTGCTCTTGTACATATGATCGGTAGCGGGATCCAAGCGACTCGAAAACTGTTCTGGAAGAATGTACGGATGGAATGTGAACGGTTATGCGAAGAGGTATGTTGATTTAACATTATTTTAAGAAAGAAAACTCTTACAGTGAGCTGATGCATAATCATAGTGCCAGAAGTTAAATAAGTGGGAACTGCTGGCTGCCATGCAAGCCCTCTCCATTTATATCATCATCCGATTAGATGAGGGTGAGACGGATTACAATAACTTTGATGTCCTGTTACTCAACACGATTACAGTAAGTATGGCTGGGAATATCCCCTTATATCAGCTCTAATGATGTAATGTAGGCAATCTCTAAGCAGCTCAGCTGCAGCGATATAACAAAGAATGTAGAGTTTGCGCTACACAACTGGGATCTCGAAAGCAGCTGGAAAGACTGGGTTTTTGAGGAGTCAAGGCGAAGGTTGAAATTCCATTCCTAGGTGGATATTAATATGCTAATTGAGGCAAAGATTATGCGTGATTTATCGAGTGGTGAATATGCTAGTCTACTTCGAACCGGCGGCAATGTGTGGTCTGCGGACGGACCTTGTTATAGCACCACTGCCAGCAAAGAAGCAGCTATGGGAGGCAGGTGATGAGCTTATGTGGAAGGTCGAAAGCCAAAAGGAACCTGGGATCCAGACTGCATTTGGACTGGCTGCGAATGGTAATCTAGTCCAACTAGGGGAAGATCTTCTACATTCGACCCATGAAGTGCTGCTCCATGAGACCTTTACTACCAGAGGCTCGGCAAATTGGGAAAGGTGGTGCTCGGGGATGGATGGCCTTGGCGGTCTTGTAATGCTTGCTGCTTCTTTAATAGGGTAGAACTAGAACCAAAGAACGCGGCAATACCGAGTGTTAAGATTTTCCCGGCAGTGGATATGCTCAGGGTTGGGGCAGTGTCGAAGATTAGATGTACGTTGTCGGTTGCAGATGATACTCTGGCCATAGATGAAAGTTTATCACACAATAGTCACTGCAAATACACATTTACAACGCATAATGGGGAGAGGGGCACATCCGAATCCCATATCTCAAGGCTTGTATATGATACGAATGTGAAAGTCACCCGAAGCCATGCCGTCCTCCGTACAACTCCCAAGTCCCCGCAAACGCAATTTCAGAAGCTCGATTTCTTTTGTTGGTGGCGTTTCACAATTCGATTGCATGACACCCTTGGCCTTCAACAGAGTCTGAAGATCACCCGGCTCAAAGCAAATACTGGAAGGTGACCTTGTCCTCTGGTCCACGATCGGTAGCTTATGGTTTAACCCATTCGAAACCATGTGTCTATTCACGTAAACGCAGTACGCGTGATCGTATCCGTAGTACTTAGCGCGTTGCATGTAGCTATCAAATATATCCTGATCCAGCTGTTCTTTACCGTAAATAAAAACCCTAGATAATGCAGAGATGTTTTCCACGTACCGATTGGACTTGTAGCAGAAGATCGCGTTTCCCCCATTCCAAGTGCTCATCTCCACACCCTGCAAAAACATACTCGGCACCTACTTGGATGCGTCCCCCGAAGCCTAGTTCATGCAAGACGATCCGGTCCTGACGGTCACGGTAAACCTTTTGTTCCACAAACACCCTCGGGTCTGGGTGAGTTTCATCCTTTTTCGGTATGAACACAGTCAAACGAACGTACCGCTGGCGTTCATAGGCTGCATCGGGCTTCAAAACTTCCGTATCGTCTGATGTTCAGTATACTTTCAGCTTCTGCCTTTCTGCCACAGGAGTAACCAGAGAACTAGGGGCGCCCTACCGGTAAAAAATACCTTCCGAAACCGACATCCGCTTATCTCATTCCGCTCGGGGCTTTGATCCAGACTCCTTGTAAAAATCGTGAGCGGATTGCTCCGAGCTTTAGGAAATGCCTTGACCATGTGCTCAATGGGGCCACTGATGATGGACTCGCCGATACGGACCCTGGGGTATATTGCGTGATTGGCAGTATTCTTTTGGTACCCGGACGGTGATCTTTCCTTCTCTACTCGGTTCGCCGATCGCTTGTTATGCAAGAGTGGATTGCCGTGGTCATTACCATCCTGTACCGTTGTTGGATGAGGCTTTGATTTCATGACTGCGTTTCCTACACAATAGATTTGTCCGATCTAGCTTAGTACTGTGGTGGTTTGACTTCAAGTGCTTGTCTGCGACAAAGTTAGAGCGCCGACAAGATTAGCATATATACTCAATTCTGGGTGCCCCAGCAAGACTGAGTTGTAACAGTCCAGGGGTGTAGTGTTGGCTCTGGGTATGATCGGACTCATACGCGCTAAGCCACTCGTCGAATCTAGGTCGACTGTGAAAGGTGCCATTGAACTTGTAATTTCCATTGGGCTCGACGCGGTGGTGATATAAAGATATGGGCCAATAGCAAGTAGAACTTGGACCAGGTTAAGGATAACGAGGTCCAATTAGCACTCCCTATCTAACATCCTGGTATTCAGGACCCAATGATTCAAAGGCTTGAGGCGCCGCGGCCCGAGGCTGAGATTCACGTACAAGGCATGTCTGGAGTCTGGGATTATTATAGTATTTGAACCCTACATGACACCTCTGGTGTATCATGATTTTCTTTCCGCCACTAGCTATTAATAGTACCATACTAAGATTGTTGAATCTCCACAACCTATCTCCTTGACTCTGTCGGCACATACTACAACGGGTACATATGTCGTGTCCCATGTATCCCGCAACTGACGAAAATACTTCGTTCTCAGGCAGTACTTAACTTGGTTATTCCATTGACGTATCGGCGCATACGATAATTAATTTCATGGCCTCTCCTTTCATAAAGATACTGTCACCCTCGATGAGAAGCCCTTCACCCCTACTATAGTTGATCCAGTGTCTTGTGGAGCCAACATGGTATTCAGGATGATGCGAATAGCAGATCATTCTCGCCCAGTCGCAAGGTTCCTGCAATAGTTTCTAAAAAAAGAAACGCACACTAGGGGTTGGAATACTGCTAGCTGTTACATTGATGACAGTATGAACAGCCATCTTTCCAGTTTCATTGGCCTCTCATCATATACCATATTCCTTGATGCGGCCATATTTTTAGAAGAGAGCGGTTAACAGTCTTAAACTCCTTGACGTTGATACTTCACCTTTGATACCGTAGGCGTGTCATCGCGCGGTAGCCTTGTCGCACGATGACAAGGCAGTTTCCACAGGTTCATCAAGGCTGCTACACTTCTAGGATATATATCCCGGGCGCTAAAAGGCTGACGGTCGAGGACCATTAAGGAACCTGCCAATATGCGGTTTTCTGACAATTCCCGAAGCCTTGTGACCAGAAAAGGATCATTGTATGTTAATTCTAGTGGATCCTCTATCTCTCCTGGTCCCTAGTAGTCCATATGGTGGTATGTAATGATTAAAAGTGTAGTACTAAAATAGGCGGAAACTTATATCGTTCGCCCAAGACGACAATGCTACAAAACAGGCTACCTCAGACGAGATCGTCCGTTTTATACAGCAACTTGGGCGAATAAGGTATCTTGAGCATTTGCTGTATTTGGAGTCATACTGTGGAGGGCATTCAATCCCAATATATTCACCTCCTGTGTAACCAAAGGCAGCAGGAGAGAGGTTACCGTTATAGCTGCATGGAACTAACGGGACCAAGAAGCAGGAAATGCATTCAGGGCCCCTTGCACCGTTATTTGTGAACCCTGTCCTGGTGCAGGGGCTCTTTTCTCATGTTGTGGATACTGTCTATAGGACAGTCTTAGATGCTTCATTCCCTATCATTTCTTTGTCGGGCGGAAACTTTTGAAGACACGACTCATCCGCGACGCTGACCATGACTCTTTTTGCTGTCTACGTTATCCTCCCTACAAGGACTACTCGGTTTCTCCCTTTTTTTGATATTAGATCTGCAGCACCCCCACTCATGGTGTGTTGTGGTTGCATTGATCAGTGTCATGGCCGCCGATCAAGATTCATCGACCCTGATGGGAATCAAATCAGCGGTCCTTACTGAGAGCTCTTAGCCTCATAGCCTCCTCTCCTATTGAAGTGGACAATCATTCAAGAGCGACATGATGATGGTCTAGCGCATGGGCTTATGTAATACTTATTCCCCAAAGCATGGAAGGTCTTCCTGGGAGAAAAGGCCTATCTGAGGCTTACCAAGATTGGACAGAATTTGTCTAGAATCCCGGATCAGGGTCGGGACTGCTTTACCAAAGCCCCCCGCGAAATTGTTCTCGCAATATATGTTTATCGACTCGTGCTCGAACAAGGAAGGCTACAGGATCCAAATAGACTGGTATTCTGATTGAGACGAGTACATTGCACCTGAGGTTATCGGTATACCGCAAGGTAATCCATCGCCTTTACAACTTTTTATTGGTGTGCCCAATTGTTTGACATTGCGAACTATAACCCCTATGCGGAGCAATGAGTCATAACAGAGAGCATGATATGTAAAGCTATTGAACTGTATCGTAGTATCAATATGATAAGATTCTAACTAGTATACTTTGTGTACTTAATTGGATGAGCGGAATTTTAACAATCCAAATGTACGTGCTGTGATGTAACCAGCGCGATCGGCAGTGGTCAGCCCTATCGTATGTAGAGTAATGTCTTAGTATGTTGATATATTCAATGGGCATCTGAAGGCCTAAACGAGACAACCAATGACCATATAATTAAAATAACTTCTTGCATACTGCTTGAAACTTCACCAGACACCATCCTTCCTTCATGTGTCCAGGACAGCATATGTGAGAATCTATCCCGTAAGCATCAAGTGTCCAATCCTATACTTCAATACTCCACACGTATACCCCTTTTCTTCTTCATTCTCTCCAAGAAGGTCGCCACTCATGTGCTTCAATACCCCAAAACAAAAGCCCCAAGGCAGTTCCCAGTCCCATAACTGCCTCGACCGGCGCCACCCGTCGCCACGCCGCCTCCCCTGTCCTATAGAACACCACTGCCGCCAGAAACCATCCTGGTATCGTAGCCACCATCAACGGGATGTTATTCTGATAGGCGGCGATAGCATAGTAAGTGCCTAGTGTCAAGGAGGAAAGACTTTTCCGCCGATTTGTAAAAGTAAGAGTAGGTTCGTAACATCAGTATTGAAGGTGTAAGGAAGAACTTCGGGAGGGAAAGGTCGGGGGTGAGGTGTATTCATAATGATGTGTATGATATCTACCTACCTCACGGCTTGGATGGTCCCCGTGCTAACGTCCTTCAGGGGCAAATACTGCGATTGCGCGGCGGAAGCGGGGGACAAAAGGGTGTGGAGCCCGCTCGCGAGGAGGGGAAGGGATTGAAGGCCGAATAGATATTGGAGAAGTTGGGAGGGCATGTTAATATTACTACCTGGCTTAGGTATTGTATTTCTAGATCGCTCCTGGAGAACCACGCAAGGCGTGAAAGTGTTGTTGCCCTGACAAGAAAGCATCACGTGGGTGGACTATGATTTACAACCTTCTATATATCCTTACGTGTACCTATCTATTAATAGTACAAATTTTATGAGGCGAACAGCTCCACGAAAAGCCTGAAAAGTGCCCTAAACAACACCGAGTCCTACACTTATATAATAAGATAAGGGATATATTGAGCAAGATATAATTAGAGTTGATATCGGGTCGGGTTCGGGTTCAAAATCTAGGACCCAATATCAACTCTATTTATACAAGAATTCAGCATTTTATTCAGCAACCTCTCTTCTTGAACCCTCCACATATTGGAGCACAATGTGAAGCTTGGTTTGTTGACTAAATGTATATATTTCTATAAGTGCCACGCCATTACCGATGCGCCCACCCGTTTTCCGTAAGAACCTGCATCTCATTAATAAGACAGAAAGGCCCAGGTTCCCTATTTTCTTGCGACTGCTTTTCCCACTTCCATAACCGTATCCAGACTACATTTTCTTTGAACCACGGCGTGGTAAACCATCGCATGAACCGATTCTTCCATAGCCCGCTAGCTACAGTAAAACTGGATAGCCATGAACTATTCACCGGGTTAACGGCCAAATAGGCAGGGGAGTTGTATCCCACACGCACGCTGGGATTAAGCCAAACCCCCTTCTCCCCCGACAAAGGATTATCGGCATGGATAAGACAGCACTCCGAACCTTCTAAGTGTGACTTTGCGAGACTGTCAGAGATACCTCGGAATCTTAAGGGTGGACTTTGGTAGAAAGGGGTTGCGTCCATCGCCACTGGTTAGGATGGTTAACATTGCGTTTGTCATGATTATAACGTGGCTGTTCAACTGACCTACACCATTCCAGCAGCTTGTCACGGGAACGGGTTGGCTATCTTTCATGGCCTGACGAGACGCTCGGGATCGGAAGTAGGGCCATGATTGCATGAGCATGTCATGGCCTTCAGAATCACGGAGGGCGAAGGTGTCATAGAAGTCAGGAGGATCGGAGAAGTCCAGTGCGCACGTTGCCGCGTAGTCGCCTCCTCTTGTAGACAATAAGTTTTGGATATCAGAGGTCTAATGTATGAGTTAGGAGAAGTCTAGAATGTGCTTTCTCAATTCATATTGACTTACGGTGAAAATCACATCATTTAGAAACACGATCGTATCATATATAATGCCAGCACTCTTCTGTTCATACAGCGGCTCCATCGCCACATTTCGTAATTTGGCCAGGTAGGGTATGCGGCGTAGCTCGGTTGCCCCAATCGGCGTCTCAATCCACCCCTGACCGCTATGAGGTTTGGTGATCTCGTCGAGATGAGTCTTGTTATCCAGGACAATCCTCCTTGGAATATCATATTCCGCTAACAGTTGATCCAAGTGAATCAGTGCACCCTTGGTATCGTCCCAACTGCCGCTTTCCTGTATACTGACAAAGACGTTGTCCCGGCCGATCGCATTGGCCAAGTCCACCACGGCCGCGATCCATGCTTCCCGTAGGATCTGCTCGCTGTTCCAATGAAGGCCGGCGATGTAGATCTTTTCACTTCCTAGTGCGACCTGCTGAAGCCGTGATTCTTGCACATGCATGTATTTAATGTGTAGCACTTCTACTAAGGTCCATCCGATGAGGATGAAGAAAAGGGCTAGTCGGATCCGGCGTGCCTTTCTGTACAGGGAGTACCGGTATGGTTTCATCGCGGTATGGGTTGCATGAATCTGGTTATATTATGTGATGTTGCTATGGACAGGGGTTCTATATAAAGGGGTAAATCTCCCTCATGTTCGTTTCCAAGGGAGCTTTGAATGATGCCGAGTAAGGGGGCGCGCGCTAAGAATGCTCTGCTTGCTGCCTAAAAGTCCTTGAAGTGGAACATGTTTGAAAAGACGGATGCATGCACCCGAGAGTAGAATATCGAGAAAGACAAATTTTGGCCCCATATTGACGTGCTTTATAATACGAAGCTGAACTTCGTAGGTATATATAATGTGCAAGAAGATGCGAAAGCCTGTCTGATGTAGTGTTGCTGCTATGAGCCGGGTGAGTCAGGTGATTCCCCCACCCCTTAACACCAGAATTTACCCGGGTCCATGAAAAATTCTTTGGACAATTGTCTTAAAAAAGTCTGTTTGAAAGGCGATTTTAAGTTTCTGATGGAGGAAATGAGTCCTCTTACACCCTTGGGTGCGGATACCTTACTGTGGTAGAACTGTCGTTAATATTATTGCGTGCAGCGGTGATATCTTTAATAGCTAACCGAGGAATAAGTACTATAAATATTATAGCGCTTCTAGCATTAGTTGTACTATAAGTATTATTTTTGACCCTGCTATCTATAAATACTTTACTGACAAGCCAGACTATATCCTTAATATGGCTGGTGCCCTAAAGGTACCGTAGCTAGCGCCTGGCTTACTAGCCAATAGGGGTATATTTACACTTGTTAATGCTGTGCTGCTGCATATGGAGCTTCAGTTTCTTATTTATGGACATTTTAACTGTTGTCTTTGAAGCGTGCTCAGTCCGCAGGAGAGATGTCTACCGAAGTCCTTCCCGTAATCACGACTTTACAACTAACATCTTTTCTTAGTTTCTAACACAAGCTGTGTAGTGGTACGGCGATGGCAAGCTCCCTATTAATAGTATTATGTATATCTATCTGACTGACGAGCTGGATAAAGCTCTCGAAGATTTCAACGCCGGGAGGCAAGGCAAACACGATCCTTACCGTACCTGATCACCTGACGCCCGGTCCCACCTGACGCCCGATTTTTTGATATACACCGACTTTTCGATACTTTTCAAACCACCATAACTCTGCCAATATGGCTTCAATTGAGGCAGCGATAGCTGAGATCGAAAGCTTAAAACCAGGAGAAATAATAAATTACACAAAAACTGCCAAGATATATGGTATAAGCAGGTCTACACTATCTCGATGTTATCGTGGTGTTCAACATACTCGAGCAGAGCAATATAATAATCAACGAATCCTCAACAACAAGCAGGCCAAAACACTTATAAAATGGATCAATAATCTAACTGATAAAGTCCTTCCGCCTACACTTAAAATGCTACGAAACTTTGCTGGGGAAATTACTGGAAAGAAGCCAGGAAAACAGTGGCCAACTCGATTTTTGAAGAAATATGATAATCAGCTTACTGCCCGCTATACAACTGGAATTGACTCCCAACGCAAGCGAGCTGATTCGGCGTATAAATACTCTCTTTACTTTGAGCTAATGGCCAAGAAGCTCAAGGAATATGACATACAGCCTGAAGATATATATAATATGGATGAGAAAGGCTTTCTTATCGGAGTACTATCAAAAGGCAAAAGAATCTTTTCTCGTTCTAAATTTGAGCAGGGGAGGTTTAAGCAACGCCTTCAGGATGGGAATAGAGAATAGATTACTACAATTGCTTATATCTCTGCAGATAGAAGCTTTCTTTCCCCGGGCCTTATATATCAAGCCGTCTCAGGTAATATACAGGATTTCTGGCTTCAAGATTTCAGTCCTGGGCATCATACATACTTTTTTGCATCATCTCCTAGTGGCTGGACAAATAATGATATTGGATATGCCTGGCTTACCAATATCTTTGATCGAGAAACTAAGGAGAAGGCTCGAAGGCATTAGAGGCTTTTAATCCTTGATAGCCACGGATCTCATATAACAATAAAGTTTATTAACTTCTGCAATAAAAATAAGATCCTTTTAGCTATCTATCCACCTCATTCTACGCATACGCTACGGCCACTGGATGTCAGTATCTTTGGTCCTTTGTCTACAGCGTACAGCGCTGAATTAGAGCAATTTTTACATAATTGTCAAGGGATAAGTCATATCACAAAACGAGACTTCTTTCAACTCTTTTGGCCAGCGTGGAATACTGCTTTATCAAAGGAAAATATTGAAAGTGTATGAAATTCTGTTGGTTTATACCCTTGGAATCCTGAAAAGATATTGATACATTTTACCAAAAAGGATAGTACTAGACTATTATCTAGTGATTCGTCTCATTCTATCCTAAGTACAGAAGATTGGAGACGTATTGAAAGGCTTCTTCAGCAGACTGTTTCTGATATCTACAATAAAAAGGCTCAAAAGCTCAGTTCTACCATATATTCGCTTTCTACCGAGAATATCCTGCTTAAGCTACATTATTCAGGTCTTGAAAAGGCTTTAAAGAACAAACAGAAGAAACATCAGCATGGGAAACCGCTTCTATCTGATTTATATACTTTGGAAGGTGGTAATACAATTTTTTACTCGCCTAATAAGATTCAAGAAGCTCGGGATCTTCAGGCTCAGAAAGATAAAGCTATACAACTTAATAAAGCTGCTAAGCAAGATAAAAAGCTTCGTCGGGAACAGGAAAAGAAAGAAAAACAGCTTCTATTAGAAGAACACAAGAGAAATAGAGCTTTAAATAAGAAGATACGTCAGCAGACAAACGTTCAAAAGCAGCACCAAAAGGAAGAAGAAAAGCTTACCAAAAGAGCTAATCTACAGCTTCAAAATAATATAAATTAGGCTGCTAAAGGCAAAAATAAGATCCCTATACCTTCAACTCCAAAAAATATAAAGGATACTAGTGATTAAAATGAGGTTGTTGTTGCAGAGGCTTTATATAGTATAAATTGTCGGGGTAGACAGATCCGCCTACCTGCGCGCTTTCGGGATCATTAAAATAGTTATATATATTCTATATAGTTTAAATACTAAACCACTAAAAGATCACACGATGATAAACAATATATGTGGTTGTAGAGCTTCATCTTTAACTCTGGTTTTCATAGGAAATCGCGCGTCAGGTGGAGGCGGGCGTCAGGTGATCAGGTACGGTATCCTTACCTGAGATACGGGACGCGGTAACAATTGGTGTGAGCCACCAAGCATGTTCGGGTGTGGGATGATTTATAGTTATGGGTAGGGCGATCTTATATAGTTTGCTTTATTATGATAACCACATGTGTAGATCTAATGTGGATATAATTCATACACAATCTAAAAGGCGAACTTACATGAACCAAGCAACTAGCCAACAAAACGTAACACCTCTCGAGTATAAATGTATCGTGCCACGTGATCACGTTCACTAGCCGTGCTCAGGGCTCCTTGATCTTCCTCATCGACAACAATTGAAGTTATCTTCGGTAGACCTACGGGGTGTAACTCTGTGATGAATACTATCAGGCCGCCCCTTCCTCGCTTGTCCGCCTTGCTTCGAAAGAAACCGTTTCCCATGCCTCCTCCCGGGCCACTTTTACCGCCCGGCATACGCGTAGATAGAAGAGATCTCGCCGGTATACGATTCCAAGCACTTTTACCCAGCGAACCCTGGAGAGGTACTCGCCGATCGTTGCCAAACCCTGGTCAAGGTTGGCTGGCTGTGGCGTGTCTTCCACAGTATGGCTCGCGCGGGGTTTGCAAGGGTAACCTTCAATAATTTCTGGTCAATAAATCTACCTCTGTCTCTAACAAAAAAAAATCATACAGGCATATGAAAGAGCCAGAGAATGTCGTGGCACTGAAAATCGCCAATAAAAATGCGGCTCCGGCTAGCCATGAACGCGAGGTTGAAGAGCATATATCCACGGCAGACCAATCACATCGCCGTCGCTCACTCATCCGAATATTACTGGACTCTTTTGAAGTTGAAGGTCCAGAAGGTTCTTATTCGTGTCTTATATATCTGCCTCTGAGAGAACCACTATCGATATATCAGAAGTGCTTTGACAAAAGAAAGATACTACTGTCCCTGATCAAAATATATATTCGTGCCCTTCTTACAGAGCTTAATTACCTTCACAGGGAATATAGGACAGTTCATACAGATAAGTTCACCCTTGGCCTTTTTGCTGTCGGTACTTCTGAGCCTATATAACTGTCTAGATTTAAAGCTTGAAAATATTATAGTCTTGTTTAAGGACCTATCTGTACTTGCTGATTTCTTGGATTCTCAGCTTAAAAAGCCAATGGCTTTTAAGATTGAAACAACAGGGTGACCTGTGTATCAGTCCCGTAATGACTTTGGGCCACTCAAAAGTCTGAGAAGTATATCACAGCTTGTCGACTTTGGCTTGGCAGCCATACTCGAGAAAGACAGTGACTGGGGTGTCTGCCCTATTCAGCCAGACCACTATTGGGCGCCAGAGGTAATACTGGGTATTGGATAGTTACGGATATTTGGAATCTTGGTATTCTGGTGTAAACTGTCGGTCTCTAAAGTTGTTATATACACTAATACAAGACCAGCTGTAGGATATGATTGACGGCAAAGAGCTATTTCGTCATATCTATAATAAACAAGATTGTTACGATGCTAAACTATATATCGCAGAAATAATAGTCTTATTCGGTCCACCCGCTCCAGAGATTATACAAAGGTATCAATACATACAAGGATATTCGTGGCCGGAACCTGTTAGACAAGAAGACAGCAGACTTTGCGAGACCACGGAGAAGTACTTCTGTGGGCTATTCTTTGACAATAGTAGTAACAACATTTTAGGTCGCTTTCTCTGCGAGGACATGATCCCCGACCGAATACTGGGTGACACAGTTTCCTTCCTTGAGGGAGAGGAGAGGAAAGCATTTTTGGATCTCGCCAAGGGAATGCTTGTCTGGCATCCAGATGCGAGAAAAGTGGCAGGCGATCTAGCTGGATATTCCTTTCTTCAACCAAAGCAGACGAGCGCCTGATTTCTGCGAGGGTTTGATAGCAAAATAACTTAAAATCGTGGTTGATCCCAGTTCGGTGGTGCCCATAAACAGCTCGTTGAAGCCCTGACGTAGTTGTTTGTTTAGATGGTGTCTAATAGAGTTAGTTGATCTGCGTTTGATCGGAAAGTAATGGCATTATACCTTAAATGAGATTTTAAATATCCATCGCAATTTCACCAGGGTTCTGATTCTAAAAGTTAGTACCAATGCGAGTAATATGGAGCAATGGTGATTATATTTATTCATCACGGACGAAGCGATCGAATGTCGTCAAGTTCTGCTGCGTCTCACCCTGGCTAGATACTAGGCACGCATTGCACTCCTACTCAGACACAAACATCTTCTATTTCTTTGACAGGGAGGAGCCGGCTTCGCATCTGCGTTGTCACGGCACCGTCGGAGCACGTCCACAACCATAGGATAGATCTGATAAGCACAGGTAACAGTATTACCGAACAAATGGAACAGGTCTGAATGGGATGATCAGGGCAAGCCGATGGTCACACAGCAGACAAAGACATGATCATGGGAGGTCTCTAGACCTGACCTCACCTCCAATAGGTATGAGACAGTGTTGGCGATCGAAACGAAAGCAACAATCAGATAATGAGGTGCTTGTAGCGCAACAACCCACACCGCTGTTTGACAGTAAAGTTACGCGGGGATTTTGATGCCTTGACAAAGAAAACGGAGAAGTCTCCCTCGTACAGGATGGGCTCTCAAAGCACCTCTAGCAACTCGTAGAATATAGAAGCAAAGCATCCTAATTATTTGCAAACGATCAGACTCCTAATATTAAATGGAGCAGAGCCTAAAGCCCGTGCCTCCATCACGGGACAAAATTGTTCCCCCTCGCAACTTTCCCATTACAGGAATGTGGATCCCCGAAAAACACAAGCTACGTTCAGCGTATGCAAACAATGCTGCCGATTACAATACCAAAGTTGGTGTTTATGCCTGCTATCGTTGTGACTCCTGTCTATGGGTAAGTGTACTTCCACCCGTCAGCAAGTATATCATGTATCATGATCCAATAGGCGATTGATCTTGACCATATGAACAGATAATCCGTGGCATTGCTTACCGATTCAAAACCTCTCCTGACCTTGAATCGTGTTGCAGATGCTATCACAGACGTGAAGTACTTTTGCACGCTCATCCTGACCATAGTTTCTCCCAGATGGGTAAAGAATTAAAAAGCCCCCTCATCCAACGCCCCAAAATGGAGGGCCAGAGATGGATACAATGTGAAGCACTGACTCTGGCGATAGCACGTCCTTCTTTAGGACGAGGTCCCCCCTCACTACATGGCCTTGAACACAGCACTGATGAACAAATAGGTGCTTGGGCACTAAGGACCAGCATGTTTCTGTGGGAGACAATACCAACGTTGCGCACCGCAGAAGCGGCGAAGCAGACAATGCATACACGGATTGGTTCCAACGAACAAAGAATCTAAACAGTAAAAGAAGTAAAGAATATCGTTAAGCAAGAGTCTATTCAATGATTCCCTGCCCCTCCATACCCCACGGCTATAATTCAAATACTATTGAACAGCACCTGAGCAAAAACCAGGTGTCCGTAGAGATTCCTAGGCTAGCAGGGTGGGAGGTCGTCCACTTATGATCGGTAGGCTTCTGGACCAAACCTAAACATATATTATGAAATAGAATACGGGGTAATATACATTTCTCCACACCTGGGCATCTGGCCTTAGCTGGCTACTCAGCCTTGGCTTGCGACGGAGTTTCTACATTTAACTCCCGTTGCCTTCACTACGTTTGGTCTAATCTACACGGCGTAAATGGCGTATTTGAGACTCCTCCATCTTTAAGGGTTTACTCCACAAATCAGGATCCGCAACGGTGTCTCCACCTATTTCAAACACATCGGTGTCCGCTGCACAGCGGGATAGGCGTAAATGGCGTATTTACAGCTTTCAATAAAGCAACATATTATTGTATTGTCACCGAGGCCGTAATTCTCATAGGTCTTTATATATAAAATCTCCAGGCCATCAAGGACAATACTAGGATCAAACGCAGATTTAGAAGCATCTGCGCTCGAATTATGTCTCATTCCACCTTCAAGCAATACTATCTTCCTCAAAAGGAAGGCTTTGATAGCCTGACCTTACGCGAAGTCCCCAAAGCCCCTCCCAAATACGGTCAAATACTAGTCCGGATCAAAGCCGTGTCACTGAACTGGAGAGACGCGATCATCGCTATTGGAACGTACCCTTTCCCAGGTCCTGATGCGCTCGTCCCAGGTAGCGATGGTGCTGGTACGTTTCCATTTACCTACAATTACAATAGGCCCACCTTCTTGCTGATTGGCCGCTAGGCGTCGTCGAAGCAGTCGGGGAAGGAGTTACAGAATGGCAGCCAGGCGACCGAGTCCTTGCGAACTTTACGCAGGATCATCTCGCTGGTCGACTGAATATGCAGACACTCTTGACACAGCTCGGCGGTGAGACACAGGGATTGCTCGGCGAGTACTTCATCTTCCCCAAAACCGGAGTTGTTCGTATCCCAGACTATCTCTCCTTTGAAGAAGCGTCCTGCCTTCCCTGCGCCGCCCTCACTGCCTGGAATGCTCTATATGGTCTAACGCCGTTGCGAACCGGCCAGACCGTCCTTCTTCAAGGAACAGGCGGTGTTTCGATATTTGCCTTGCAGATCGCCCATGCAGCAGGCGCAACGACCGTCGTGACATCCTCATCCGACGCAAAATTGGCCAAGGCGAAACAACTCGGTGCAACGCATACAATCAATTACCGAACAAATTCTAACTGGGCTGCCCAGGCCAAACAGATCACAAATGGCCGTGGAGTGGACCATATCATTGAGGTCGGGGGAACACTCACACTTCAAGGATCGTTTGATGCCATCGCGATGCACGGGATTATCCATTGCATCGGACATATCACGAACCCAGATCCCTTAGGCACTGGCAAGGACCTCCGTGGACCGGATGCTGCATTCCTGGCATTGGACCGATTGTGCATCGTCCGAGGTGTGGTTGTTGGCTCGCGAGAGCAATTCCAGGAGATGCTGGAATGCTTCGAGACAAGCTCGATTCGACCTGTCATTGATCGAACCTTTGGCTTCGAAGAGGTGAGGGAAGCATATAAATATTTATGGGAGGCGAAGCATACAGGAAAGGTGGTGATCCGTGTGGGATTAGCGTGTTAGCATGATATGTAGTAGCAGGCCAGTGGGCAGTCTTTGGGATAGAAGAAAGACACAATAGCAAGAGGAAAATACCAGCAATATTAAGAATAGGTTCAACCCCGGTAGTGGGGGTTAGATTATTAACACTATTTAACTGAATCGCGCGGGGAAACCTCGATATTTGTCAGCGCCTGAGGGCTGTAACTTTATGACGATACCCTCAGCTTCAAGGAAATTCAAGGTTTTACTAAGCACCTGTTTCTGACCTCCCTGGTAATGTCTTCAAATAGCTACAAAGCAAGCAGAATGCTAGTCCCCTCCGAAACCATGAAGCCAGTCAGACGCCGCAATGGCTCTAAGCACGACAAGACCGGCTGCTTGACTTGTCGCTACAGGTAGGCCTTCGCAATTTTATTCCGCCATAGCCTGGGCTAAGACCTAAGACAGACGCAAGAAATGTGTCCACAATACCTTTCCCGTCTGTGGAGACTGCAGACGTCTGAATCTGGAGTGTATTCGTGAACCGGCCCGTCGGGTCTTGCCCATCGCTTCCCATCCCACAGCAGACGGTCTATCTGAATGGAAAAGTTCCCGCTTGCATGACAATGTCGAAAACGCCCAACGTCGATCAGCCATGAACTTCTACATTACGACTCTTTCTCAGCTGTTGACTGTCACGGAAAAGGATAATTGCTTTCTTTCTGGTAACACCTCTTTCGAATATTCTAAGAGTAGCAAAGAGTATGACACAAACTGACATCGGTATAGCATTTCTGCCAATGGCAATGGAATCTCCCATACTAGCAGATGCGCTAGTTGCCACCTAGCCGTTCGTGAGAATCGCTATCGCTATACAGCACTTGAAGCACGCTCACGCGCGCTCAGATCTCTTGCAAGGTCTCTTCGAGCTGATGGAATTACTGCTGGTGAGATCAACGCTGCAACCAGTCTGGTCCTCATGACATCCGAGGTGTGCCTAGGCTGTCATACAGAATGGTACAGACATCTCAACGGCGTGAAACACATCATTATGTCGACGAGCACTTCCAGTCCAACTTCCGGAGCCGAGTTACATGGGCCTGAGGCCTTGAAACAGAGCTCTGAGGGACAATGGATCTTGCGCAACTTTGCTTATCATGATATACTAGGAAGCGTTACACTAGGAAAGCAACCATTGATTGAAAGTTATTTCCTGCAAGGCCTGACCGATAGGATTGACACTTATATCGGCGTTGCTTTTGACATCCTATTAGTCATATCAGACATCAGCTCGTTCGATGAGCAACGCCTTGTACTCGACTCCATGCGGCCCAGTGAAATTGATGCAAGTGTACCAAACTGCTTCAGCTCTACCGAGCAAATATTGAAGTCCTGGGTATGCCCACCAGGAACGAATCGAGTCCTTGCTTCACTGGCCTACGCCTATGGCAGTAGTGCCTTAATATATCTCTATCGCCGGACGCTCCGCGGGTTAAGGCTCCATGGTCTACCTTCACGTACGCTATTTCAGGACGGTATATCCGGTCTGCGCGCCGCAATACAGGCTGAAATCTCAAGTGTTCTACAGCATACGGCTAATATTCCGGTATCCGGGATTGTCGAGTCTGCGCTACTTTTCCCTCTGTTTATTGCGGGAGGTGAGGCTACATATCGCAGCCATATCGAGGTCATTCGGTTTAGGATGAAGGAAATGCTAAGCAAGCGTAACTTTAACAATATTCAGCGGGCATTGGGTCTGCTGGAACAGGTATGGGAGCAACGGAATGCTGTCAAGGACGGAGTGGAGGATTATGATGTGGATTGGCGCGACGTTGTTGATCGACAAGAAGGGGATCTTTTGCTGACTTGAATGTCGACAATTGGAATATGACATACTCCAATATAAGAAAAATTATGGGATAGAAGAGTACTCGGTTCTACAGTTTATTGACACTATATTAGGATAAGTACTTGAACGTTCTCAATCAATTTGGGTTAATTGACCGTGCCAGCTAAAAGTCCTTCTGGCTGGCGAACTTCATAAGCTTACCAAAGCACTGTAAAAAGCGAAAGAGACTATAGACAGCCTGCTACATATCCCAAATATTGCTCGTAAGTTGAGTGGTTGTGAGAGTGCGACATAACCCTCAAAATGGCACCCGTCACCGCCTGATTATACCGGACGCGAATATTAACCTAGCTGGTAATAGTATACTTAGGCATCCATATGTCCTTGATTCAGCTATTGTTTAATATCCCTGATACGAAAAAGCCCTGGATGGATTTCGATTTTCAAGGTTCAATACATCACCAGTAGAGCCCAGCAGAGTTTGCCCATATCCTCCAATCCATTTAAGCCACTAAAGGGCGTTTCACACGATATGGCATTGAGAAAATACTATAATATCGTATCTGAAAACCGACAGTAATCCCTTAATTTACTTAACATAACTACCCCTCATGTAGGTTGTATTTTAAATATCTAAATCCTGGTTAAACCTTCCCCACCGATCTAGGGATCGGATCCACAGGAAAAGTCTGCGGTCCGCGTCGAAATTTCTCGTCATAAATCCGATCTGCACGATTGCGCATTGGCTGAGGCGTGACCCACGCGTTTTGAGGATCACGAAGCCATAGGCGCAGTAGGTGTCGTCTTGAATATACCTTCAATTAGCTAATAGGCATACTCACATGTGAGGACGCAGGTACAGACTTACCGACTATCTGGACCATCCACATAGCTATTTCGAGCATGGACCATACTGAGGTTATTGATGAATTGCATGTCGCCTTTTTTCAGCTCCATTGCCACATGGAACTTCTCCGCCAGAAAGTGGAGAGCATCCAGTGCCTCCATCTGGATGGGAGAAAGTCTGTTTAGCCGGGAGTGGGCTCCAAACCCAGAGAATGAGCGCCGTGAGAATTGCAAGATAACCCGTTCTGGAGTTGAACCTATGGCAGGCTGATAAAACAAAAGCGGTCTGTGCTTAATGAGACCAGGTTCCTGTGCACTAGTTAGTTAGTGTACGTTAGTCAAAGCGTGTCATTGGGCTCAAAAATGGGCTTTCGTCCAGACTCCACACACCTAGGGATCGGCCAATCCTCTGCCAAAACGCGGACTAGATCCGGACGGTTCTCAGCCAATGCATTGTACACTGTCCATCCACTCGCAAGCAGACTTTCACCGCCATTTGCTGGCTCGCTAAGCACGAAGAGCGACACGATATCCCCCACATCGGTGTGGAATACCACTTCGCTGTCGGTATACGCTGCCAGGGCGTAATTTTGCTCCCCGCCCGGGCGTCGCATGTCGGTGATGTGGGCCAGCATCACGTCCGCTGGCTGGCCCTTAAATTGATGGTCTTGGCGGCCTCGCATGGCGCCAATGTGGGATGAGATTCCGACATAAATGATCATGTTCTCTTCGCGGGTATAGCGTTCCACTGGTACTCCACGAATGAGAGTAAAGCCATAGCCCGAATGTAGATTGTCTGATACAGACCGGAGAATCGACGACAAACCCGGCAGAGGAAACGTTGACGGGTTAAGAGTTTCCATTGGCTGAGTTAAACCTGGAGTGGAGAAGTCAGCTCTGATCGACATACGGGAAGGATCAGACTGTGTAGTAAGGTTGTAGTCTGCTGACTTTGGAAGTATCTGAGCGCTGCATCAATCTCGGCCAACTGTGGACCCTGCAGAATCAACAAGTATGGAGTCCCACCACCGAGAGCGTGATCCAGGGCAATATCCTTTGCTTCCCAAGCCATCTTGGATTCCAGCCTCTTGGGAAATCCATGTGGAAGGGTCGTGTCTAGTAATCGTTGTTGTCCGAGATCGAATTCGTCAGATTGATATTCATTGCGATCCAAATGATAGGTGACCTGTTCAATTCCTGAAGCCATTGCCGAAAAAGTTCAATTGTGATCTCGCAGTGGAGACTGTTGGTGAATCCAAAATACTGTAGGAGATTAACAGGCTATATATCTTATAGCTACCCATACCGGTGTCAATAAGATGATGCGTCCTTCTATCTTGCCCCTCGACGTGGTCGGATCTTTACCGACTTGGCCAGTCCCTAGCCCCACCACGCGTTGAGATCTGACCGTAGAGCAGGACAGAGGACGATGGATGAGAGATCATCTCATGCAATATGAGCGATCGACATTCTCCAAAGCTGAACAGTAAAAAACAGCGAATCATAGTAGCTTCAACCTGTGTGCTATCATTCTAGCGTACTCTAGCGTAGTTGTTCCCATCGGGACCAGCGAAGATATTTAAGGGGAACTGAAGGATTACATTCGGAGAAATAGATCTTTCTTCGTGTTAAGCTCCGCTACGCACAACTACGGCAGAGAATATGACAGTCCTCCCCTGGCACGACCAAGCTCTATTCGAGACAACGAGACGAGTTCTGGCCGAAGTAGTCAACGAAGGGCTGGTTGGTGCGAAGCTGGAAACTACTGCGCTAGGTGGGGCAGGCACACTTTGCTTACTGAGTCCTCAGGATGGCACCTGGGTTAAGGTTGGGGTAAAACCCGGCACTGTCATTGAAATGAAAGAGGAGCGCGTGATTTCTGTCGTACGACCAGCCAGCTTGCAGCCACCTGTAATTGTTGGGGAAACCGGGAATCAAGAGCTGGATCCGGGCGCAATATTCGGCGTCCTCAGTGCCTCGTTCAAGGATGTTGCCAATGAGACGGTACTAGAGGCTATTATTCAAGAGCTACGCAACTCAGCGAGGAACCAAGGTAAGAGCATCAACATGTTGTGCGTCCACCTGTTGTACTAAGGATAAGTCAGAAAAATGGCTGGAAATCAGCCAGGGCCAACAAGTGCTGGGCTTGCAGGATACATCTGCGAAATGGGAGCGGGCGCTGATATATGGCCATCCGAGCCACCCGGTGTGACCCGTCAGATGGCATTCTACCTGCTGTGTTGGAGCTAACCTTGCTAAAAACAGTACCATCGATTATGCTATGCTCAAGAGCCCCTCAAGCCCGTCAGCCCTGAAGATATACCTGCAATGCTCACACCGACTCTAGCGTTTGTCTCAGTGCCACGAGACAATCTCCGCATAACAGGTCACTTTGAGCAAGAATTGCAGCCTCTACTCAAACGGCTGAACATTCCACAGACAACTAGTGATCGAGTGATCATCCCTTGTCTCGCTCAGCAGCTGCCCTCTGTCCACCAGAGATTCCCTGATGCTGTCGTTCTTAAGCTTACCGCAGACTGCGCCGATGCCCAGGCATCTATGCGGACTCTGACTATGCGACCAGAGCTAGGATTCGGCTACCACCTGAAGCTCTCATTGGCTTGTCAGATCACCTCCGCTCTGCGAACCATCACACCTTGGACAACCTGTGGCGGTCCAGTTCAAACGGCACTCTTGGAGAAATTTCTTCCAGAGGACCTCTGGGTATTCAGAGAGATGGCAGCTGTCTCGGGGAGCCAAGAAGATTTCAACGAGGCACGTCACCTATCTTGTATCCTGCGGGATAGCTTGGAGAGTAGAGCACAAGCAAATGATGAAGTTCTTATCCTTGCTGCAGCATTCGGCCAGCAGCCCTATGGAGAGAGTCGTACATATGCGGAGATTCTGTACAACCTGGAGACGGTCTCCCAGAAGAAGGAATGGTTGCAAAGGTTTGTTGACCCTGATGCCGGTGATTCGTCAAGGGAATGCAGGCTAAATTTCCGAACAAAAGATATGTTACAGTACTATTTAGCCTTGTCCTCCCTCCATTGGTTCAGTATGGAATCGGACTGGAAGGGCACGGGCAAAACCTAGTGGCTCGTGTCTGCCGCCAGACGGGCCAAATCAAAGGATTCGCTGTGCGTGACTTTGGGGGTGTCAGAATGCATGTCCCAACCTTGAAGACCCATGGTGTGAAATTCGACTCATTGCCACCTGGAGGAGCGACGTTGACGGATAATTTACAAAATGTCTGGAGCAAGGTGCATCATTCACTCCTCCAGAATCACGTCGGGTTGCTCCTTGAAGCGCTGGGATTGGAGAACCATGGCGGATGGGCAATCACCCTAGAGGCATTATCGACAGTTTTGGGGCACGGCCAAGGCTCACTTGGAGCAGAGCTACTCGAGTATTTCACTAAGGATACAATGCCATTCAAGTGCTTCCTGAGAATGAGGATGGAGAGCAAATATCGCGATGTAAGTGTTCTCCTAGCCATGGGTTTTCCCAGGCTGAAGAGCCAAGTACTGACTTTTTCTTTTCACTTTACAGTACATCGAGAGGGAAGTGCCGAATGTACTCCTAATGGACTCTTCGCGGTGGAAATCTATATTACATACATATCAGCCCTCGTTGCACGCGACTTAGCAAAGTCATCTGTCAATAAAATAGAATACGTGACCTACTATCTCTCCGTTAGCATATCCTTTCTTTATTGTCATATGCTACTGTTGATGAGGTCTTTCAAGCACTGCACAATCAGACAGGACGTGTTTGTTCCATAGACTGCGCCACGGAGCTGTACATATAACTTACGTGGCCCACAGAGTGATGTAAACAGCGCACGCATGTCAGTGTGGTTGGAAGGTAACTCGGAATAGGTAGAGCTCTTGATATCTTAAATTTTACTTCCAGAAAACTATATAGATCTCATTCTGTTTTCTATTATGATTCCTTGACTATCGTCACACGGCGTACCTCCACTTGTTCCATTCTCTGCTCCATCGTCTCCACGGATATTCGGGGGCCAACACCCGCTTATGTTCGAGCGCGCCACAGAATAACATTTGTAGCTCTGTGAAGTATACTACACTACTGGTGATCTTGCTCACCAGCTATGTCACTCAGGGTGGAGTGGTCCTTTAAGACCCAACCTTGGCCCACCAGCACCTTTAAAGTGTTTCACAATGTCGGTGAACATATTTTTACAACATGCTCAAAGTTGCATAATACCATACAGGTCAACCTAGTAGCAACTTCCATTTCTTTAAGAACCATGGCGCAGCCACCCAACTATGCATATCCCAGGGCTGTTCACCCCGACACACAATCCCCGCCTTTCCAACAATATCTCGTTTGAGGTCTACAGCGTCTATCAATGTGGGTGCGGTAGCAGCTAACATGACGGCTCTGGTTCTTAACCCAGGCAATGGTAGTAGGTCTAATAGCGGATGATGAGGAAAGAGGATCTGTGGCAAGGTCGGTTGGAGATGCGTAGGGGTAGATGGATTCGAGACATTCTTGATGAGGGTCTGAGGGTCATCTAACATGGTAGTGTTGGCTCTGTATAAGGGTGAACACAGAGACATGCACTCATCGCCGAAGAACTTCCTGATGCTTATGCCAAGACTTTGGGCATTGTGAAGACATGCGCGGAGAAGCATTGTGTGTGTCAGTTCCAGAGTGTTCTGGTACAGATCGGGTAGCATCCTGTCTAATTTGGAACTGGGGCCCGGTATTATTTGCCTGGAAGTATGTTCCTCAACATACTGAGCATATACATTGTCGTTTTGTGTTGTAATAGAGGCCGTCTCCGAAGGAAAGAAATGGTCGAGGGTTAATTTCATCGGTGCCAAGCATTGACTCCGTCGAATCTCTGGATCCACTCCTGGAACATCTGCCGTACCACAGTCGCCCGGATCAACAAGTTCCTCCGGCACATGTTCTTCAGCTGGAGTGGGCTGTAGTGCTCTGAGGGCGCTAGATGGTCTAGCTATCTGCTTTTCTCGCTGCAGGCGCTCTTTTTGCCTTTGGCCTATGCCCAATTTAGCTGTTGCCCCTAGTCTCGACGAATGTCGCGGGCACACTTACGATAAACCCGTTGCGCGACACGGTTCTGTTCTTTTCGCGCCGGAGTTAGGACTCGCTTCCGGTGTTTTGAGATTCTGTCGTCGTTATTTCCGGGCATGCCGTCTGGCTTACGGGGTGAAGTTAGGAGATGTTGATGTTGAGTTCGGCCGACGGTGTTGGCTTATGCCTTTCTCACCAATGAGAAAGCAGCCCTAACCATCAATGCCAAGAGTAAGCCACTGTATTTATGCCCTACAATTTATCCGATCTCCGATATATAGACCTGTGGTGACTAGCCATTTAAAGAACGATAACAACACAGTGAACAACTCACTACATTGACATTGTTGATAAACCCAATCGACCAAGATGAAGACCATCACCATCGTCGGCGCAACAGGAAACCAAGGCCTCTCCGTCGCACACGCCTTCCTCCCACTACCCGACTGGCACGTCCGCTGCATCACGCGAAATCCCTCCTCCGAAAAGGCAGAGAAGCTCGCTTCTCTTGGTGCTCGTATAGTCAAGGCAGACCTCGCCGACATTGGCTCTCTACACTCGGCCTTCGTCGACTCCAATGTTGTATTCGTCAACACAGACTTCTGGGGACCCTTCCGTACCACAGGAAAATATGACGCCGCCTATGAACAAGAGGTGCAACACGGCCGCAACGCTGCCATGGCCGCTTCAACTGTCCCCACACTTGAACTTTTCATATACTCTACTTTGGCACCGATGAAGAAGCATTCTCGGGGGAAGTATCCTCATTCTTACCATTGCGATGCCAAGGCAAACATTATGGAATACATTGAAACTCAGACGCCGGAATTGGCGAAGAAGACTTCTTACATTATCGTTGGCGCATATGCTACGAACCCCCTTTTTATGCCTAGGTGGGATCCATCTATTCAGAAGTACAGGTTCATGGTGCCGCTGAAGAAAGACCGGAAGATGCCGATCATCGCGGCGAGGGAATCCACCGGCGCTTTTGTCAAGGCTTTGATTGATGAACCTTCGCGGACGAGGTTGCTCGCCTATGATAGTGACCTGACTATTGGGAATATTGTGGAGGTCTGGTCCAGGGCTACTGGGGCTGAGGCTGACCTCATTGAGGTGGAAGCTCAGAAGATGCATGAGCTTGGGATTCCTTGGGAGGTGTTGGATGCATTTTTGTTTATTGGGGAGTTCGGGTATGCGGGTGGGATTGAGGGTGTGATTCATCCAAGTCAGCTGAAAACGCCTGTGCAGACTGAGTCGTTCGAGGAATGGTTGAAAAAGAGGAACTGGGAGGAGGTCATGCAAAGGGGTAGTGAGGAATTGAATAGTGTCGCGGGTACTGCGCACTAGTCGCAATTGTTTCTCCCCTTTTTTTTTTTTTATTATTATTATTATTGTTCATATAGTGATTCAGATTTGTTTTCCTTTCCATGTCACTGAGCCAAACTTCTCTAAGAACTTGCGTTTCTTTTGAATGCACGATCCGTGGTTGTTCATGAACTAGTATACAGCCTGAACCAAAAGGATGCAGCTTTCGAACGCTATTCTTGTCAACTCTCTAAATCCAAATATCTGCATAAAAGACTTTAACACAAGAGGCTAACATTCATTTCACCCTTCTCTAATGAAATCATCTACCAGCACAATGACCCTACCACGCACAATGTCCACCATCCACCCGCAAATCAGAACCAGTCATAAAGCTGCTCCCATCACCCAACATAAAGAGCACCGGAGCCCGAAACTCGTCCGCGGTACTCAACCGATACAGCATGTTATCCTCGATCCATTGAGACTCCAAGCCAGGTTTCTGAAGAGCCTCCGCCGTCGCAGCTGTACGGATGTAACCAGGGGAGAGCGAGTTAACCCGGATAAGGGGCATACCCTTTCGTGATCCCCATTCCGCCGCCAATGACCGTGCTAGCTGCTGTACTGCGGCTTTTGAGGCATTGTACCCCGCAGTGTCGACACCCTGTATTTTTCGTTACTTGTGCCAGGGTGTAGTGGAGATGAGGAGGGGACATACTTTGTTCGATACGTATCCACTCATACTAGCTACTAAGACAATGCTGCCACTGACATCCGACTGCCTCATTTCCCAGGCAGCTGCTTGTGCCGCCAAGAAGGCTCCACTGACATTGACGTCCAACATCTCACGAACGGTCGAGATAGGGAAGCTAATAGCGGGTCCATTCCGCGAGATGCCAGCACAGACGACCAGTCCTCGAAGTGGATACCGGAGCGTAGGCATGAACTTGGCAAATACATCCGCCACCATATTTTCATTGGTGACATCGAGAGACCAGTACGATATGCTACCTTCATACTCCAATGCTGTACGCACCACATCACCTGTTGCATCTTCAATCAATATATATATATATATATATATATCCCGATTGATCAGGCAGTAGACTTACCCCAGTTTTTCGCAGTAGGCTCCTCAGGTAGATCGAGACAAACTACATCACCCCCACTTTCGAGAATGGCCATCGCCAGTGTGGTTCCAAGGAACCCATTTGCGCCGGTTACTGGATCAAGCAATACATTGATCAGCCTTTGCTATTCTACAGGAACGGTCGGGACAACGTACTAACGATGGTTCGCTTATCTAGCCGAAACAGATCTCCGACTGGCCGCGATGGATCTCCTTGCGACGGTTTGCTTTCGCGGAGTCCCGGGTCATGGACATTGCAATTGCTGTTGACACTCATGGTTGTGGGGAGCTTCCAGGTGAGTTTGGTCGTTGCCAACTCAGAAGGTTAATTATCAGCTCGACTGGCCGTAACCCCGCATCTTCTTGATTCAGGCCAAATGGTCAGAGATCCTAGTATTTAGGGTCTCCACTTGCGACTCGGTCGGCAGTGCGCCGGTAAGACGTGATTGTGGCTTGAGATCTACGACCCCGCACACGCGAAGCGTCCTGAGATGATCTACACCAATTGATTGGATTATGAGGATTGGTGGTTGCATATTGTCGGCTACACATGTCAAAGCGCTACATGATGTTACCGACAAAGAAACTTATGGTATTCAAGCTTGGGTCTATATTGTTTGTCATGCAAGGTCATTCTGTCTCTGTCATCCTATGCCTATGTGACGGAAATTCATATAGAAATACCATCAACAGTAAAAAAAAAAAAAGAGAAAGCCATACATAGTAAAGCATCATTTAGCCATATGTGCATCTCGAATATCATGAGAGGTATTGTCAGATCCTCTCGCCACGGCCCTAACATCATCGTCCTGGACGTTTTCATCCTGCTGGATTCTGTAAACCTTGATACCGTTTATTATGCCAACCTTGAAAACAACAAAGGCCGAGGGAATAATGCACAGCGCAAAGAACGATAGATTAACAGCAACGGCCCCGGATAGTGGAAAACGCGCCTGGTCAATCGAGTTAATCCCATACGATATGGCTTGCCCGGCACTCTCAACGCCGCGAACAACAGAGCTGAGTCGCACAATATCACCACCACTGCGGTTGACTGTACCAATCAGCCAGTAGAGGTAGTCGTACATCAGATTAAATCCAACCAGCATCAGGATATAGACGCACACGCCGCGACCAAACCCATCGTCTGCCCAGTCAAGGACAGGAGGAGTGTCTCTTCTCTCGTACTCCTTGGTGACAATCATGGCGTATATGTAAAGAGACAGTTCAAACGCGTATATCAACACGAACGCTGCTATCGCTCGAGTATTCAGAGTCGGTTTCCTCCAATCTAGAAAGAACCCTAGCACGAAATTCGCAATGATCACACAAGTACTAGCGACCAGGGAGGCTAGAGCGCGAGATCGTACGGTGAAATATGTTGCGTTGTAGGTGGAGAAAAAGGCTTCTGAGAAGACACTCTGAAATATCATCGGCAGGAGTAAGAGGATCTCCTTCCGACAAACCAACTTCCACATTATGTTCAGTTCGACTCTTAATCTCCTGGGCAGGTCAAGTAAGACCGGGGACTGGTCCGACCGCTGGACCTTGTCGGGGGATGAGAGCAAAGCCGCCACAAATGGGCCCAGGGCCTGTATTGAGATGAAGATAAAGTACGTCTTCACACTTATATGTCCCTGTTCTCGATTCCCGGCATTAACTCCTAGAGTGACCGACCCACCGATCATCTGGCCAACGATCCGGCTGGCTAGCCAATACGCCAGATACTTACCTCGTCGATGCTTCTCAGGGTAAGATAGGACAATGGCTCCTTCAGTGAGCCAGAAAATCCCCGATGAGATGCCATCGATAACACAAGCCAGCATGATATACCAGGTATTGTTGTACCTGATATTGCAATATATGCTAGAGGCATAAATTGGAAAGCCTACCATACCGAGAACTAAAGCCCATTTCAGTCCGATCTTTGCAATCATAGCACTGCCAAATATGCAGACCAGGACTTGCAGGCAGAAGATGACTGCATTAGCTGCGTTGACGTAGTGCGGGTCCGCGGCCCCTGCTCCTCCAAGACCGTTCATAGCCGCCCATAGTCCCGGGGCAATAAAAGCACAGAGTGACACCACCGAGATGTTAAAGAAAGTGGTGCGGTACCATGTCCGTGTTGTATAAGTAGATGTGCTCATTGTGGCTTGATACAGTTGTTCCAAGATGCTCGTTCGGGGTGGATCTAGGGTTTGAGATAATGTATAATCTCTAAGTGATCCGCGCAGTTTTCAAAGTGAGGCACATTCCGTCTAAAATAAGGCTGGGAGGCAGCAGTACCCCATGGGGTTGAATCTGTGGGGGATCGGCAAACAGCCGGATGTGGGAGATGCCAAGGAGAAGGATCGTGATAGAGATAGGACAACCAACTTCCTCCCAAAGCGGGGTTACGTCGTTCATGGTACTAAACCAATCATAATGTGTTGCCCTGACCCTCAACTGGTGGTGGTCGATCATCAAAGCTTTAACCTATTAGAGTGAAGGGGCCTGCGAAGCAATCCTACGCTTAGGCTGTACATGTGCTTAAATGATTCCAACTCTTAATAACAAACGCTTATCTATAGATACAGAACAGATATTGTTCCAAGATGGAAGACTAGGACAGAATTGGGAGATTCCAAGTTTTATATTGTTTGGATTGTATAGTGAAAACCAAGCGGATAAATATCTATCTGGGAATAGTTACGACATAGTGACGAAGGAAGAGGTGCCTGAAAAGGTTCGGCCCTCTAACCGTACATTTACCTTTGCTAAACTCTCCTATTTTCCATCTTGAAGGGTCCTAATCCATTCTATGATAGTATCATAGAATTCTGTTGTGGCTTTCAGGTCAGGGAAAAGGTGGAAAGCATGGGGCAAGCCGGCATAGATTTTCCTTTGTACAGGAACACTAGTGAGGAAAGCTATTAGAATTTCTTCTGGACACGGCTTCAAATCCTAACACAAGAGCTCACAGTATTGGTGAACAGGAAGTACTCACCCCGCCTCTTCTAGAGCTTCGCAATAAGCGAGACCCTCATCACGAATAGGATCCTGTCCGGCTACTTGAATCACTTTTGAACATTAACACCTGCGCAATGCATAGATCCCAAGGCTGGATATTCTGAAGAATACATACATGCTGGTGGCAGCCCTTCGAGAGAATGCGACAACAGAGGACTGGCATAGGGATTCGCACCAGCTGTGGGGCAGTATTGCTCTGGATTTTGGATGAGTTAGCATTCTTTGCGTGTCGTCAATAACTGCCGAAAATATGGTAAAGGCACCATACCCCAAAACCAATGAGCCGCATGAGTCGGCATAACCGGCGCATTCCTGTTTTGCTCGGGGCTGTTATATTCATATTTATCCTTGGGGAAGTGCGCTGGGTGGCATATGTCAGGTATATTCAGGACCTGGCCAATAACAGCCCCGATGCCTTCGTCTCTGTCCTTCAAGGCTAAGACAGCAGCCTAGAGATATGAGTGATTTGAGAGAGATAGCTGATTTTGACGTGATGATACGTACAATGTTCCCCCCGGAACTGCTTCCACCAACAATGATTTTCATTGGGTTGATCCCAAGGGTATCTGCATTTTGCCTACACTGTGCGCTAGTTAACTATGCAATGCCAAGAAAAGCATGCCTATTGTTCTTTGTAAATAGCTCACCCATTGCATGGCATCGAAGCAGTCATTGACAGCGTAGGGAAATTGGTATTCGGGGGCCCTGTTCCATCTGTCAGAGCATTTCCACAAATGAAGAGGACATTCCATATCATTTCTTGGAGAGGATGTATTAACTCACAGACGGTAATTGACACTAACTACAACCGAGTTGGTCTTCTTCGCAACTAAACGGTTCATGGGCTCTTCAGCCTGGTGGTCGCCAAGAACCCAACCTGCAACGATTAAGTTAGACATCCAGATCATTATATAAAGCAATTTATTCCATTTATACCTCCACCATGCGCCACAAAGAACAATGTTGATTTCTGGCCGACATCCCTATTCTTGTAGATCCTAAGTTCCAGCTCAGCACCATCTCGAGCCGTCATGGTTCGATGGCTAATCTCGACGCTTTCAGTGATAGCCTCGTCATACGGGAACATCACTGGAACCTGGGCCATGATTGCACGCATATCAACGGCTGATAGCGTCTTCATCTCGGCAAAAGGACTGGGCATATCCTTGTACTTGTCGAAGTCAGGGTCAGGGGTAGAATAATGCGCATATCTCAATGATCGTTCCTTTGTTTCGGAAGACATGTTTACTATAGTTCTTGCAACAGCTTGTGTATTCAAGGTAAAGGTAAAGAATTATCGCGTGGGTACATTGCACAATGAGACTTCGAGTGGAATTTATATAGTAGCCTGGTGGATGAAACACAGATGTAAGCCCTAATCTCGATATGGTATGGTTTCACTGCGGACTACATGTGATTTCCCTAAGGCCAAGGCCAACTAGTAAAGGAATACATTAGCTGTACTTAATGGATAATACTGGTCGAGGTGGCCAAACACGGTATAGCGACATCCCGGTCACTGAATTCTTGGCGTTTACTACCTGTATTACCTTTACTTGGCGGGTCCGTGGCTATTGGTGTACGGTGAAGGAAAAGTATGTACCTTTTGCACAAAATTATATATAATCCATACGTGGAGCAACCGTACCTCTTCGCCAGAAATCTTCCAGGCGCATTAGGTAAAATTGTAATTAGGTCAAATACCAGGTTCTGTACCCCGCTCTGATGACGATGAGGCTGGGGGCCCGCTCTTACTTTATCCCGCGTAGTAAGTGCATGTTGGCCAGCCTGTGCTATGGAAGTGACAGCCCTATCTCTCCCATGCAGCGAATCGTCCTTGTCTCGAGAACCACAATGCGGCATTCAATCATTGCTAGTCTGGCGGTTTCCAGCGATTTCTACTTATGTTTCGAGTCACAAAAGTACGTCACCCTATCTAGTAGAAGGTTCCTCGCTATAAGGAACATAGGTCTTGGCTAGTTGCGCACGCACGAACTGCAGTCATGGAATGTTAGCTACTAACTACCGACTCAATAAGATATTCCATGTTCTCCTCATTTCACCAGTCTTGGACGGTTTCACACTTGCCGGCCTGTCATCGGAGACACAATTTGGCAAGACTGACACTGTGGTATTGTAGTCGACTCCGAAGAAGAAGGGGATTGAATAACGTTCTTGACCAGTAAGGTTGATGACTCAGTGAACATTTGACTTGAAGGTCACATTAGTCCTAGGGAGGTCAACATCCGTATAGCGCTCTAAACTGTTGGAAAAAGCCAAACACATATCACTTAGACAAACAATCGGCGATATTCACAACCAGCGTCCCTGGGATAGGAGGCGCCACCACCCATTCCCCCCGAGCGTTACGGACTTGCAAAGCGGGCACATTATCCTGGGACAAAAATCGTAAAGCATTCGTAGTCCTAAATGAGAATTCACAATTAGCAAGACCGGAACCAAGGGATGGTGCTAGAATCGGCCATCTACTGTATGAGCCCCGAGCCCATCTCTAGCCTCTCCGTCCACAGGCTGGGGTGGATAATGCAAGATGCGGGACGTGACTCCCGGAAAATCCATCACGGGGTCAGAGAAACCCTCATAGAGGCGAAGGGAAGGGGCAAAGCTTCTCATTAGTCTTCGACAATGTGTGAGTGCCTCGGTACAATAAAGCAAATCGGTCTCTCGGAATTTTGGAAGCACCTCGTCCCTTGGCCACTGGTTATCTCCATACAAATCATAGGTATCGGGGGGAAGCACGTTATCCGGGGCACGTTGTTGGATCAGCCAGAATTTCCTAACCAATACAGTATCGAATGATTCCAGAAGAGCACCCGTTGCTTTTTTCTCGGTGCGCTCGCTCAGATCATCCGCGATCGGTATTTCCTCTGCATACACAGGCATGAATCCACGGTATTTCTATTGCTTGTTATATGTCTGCTCCTCCTCAGTAATGGATCTCTTGGGGTAGGGCACATACCTTCGATTTCGCCACAAAATATTCCCTTTTCTGCTCTAGGAGGGCGAAGAATCGATGCGCTGCATCGTGAAGAGCATCAATCAGCTCGTCCGAGATGCCGTGATTCTGCAGGGCTTCTGTTGACAAGTGGTGCGAGTTGGGATTGGGGAGATACGTAGTCACCTTAATGTAGAAGAACCCCACCTGTGTGCAGGCATCGTAGATTTCTGCCGCCAGTCTCTGGCGTTCCCCGCGATCTGGACTGTTTAATGTGCGACATCGATGATCGGAATATTCTCAAAGTCTTCCTTTGGTGAACTTTCCGACAAATGGTGCTGCTCCATAATGGATAATGAAATGTTAACGGTGTCGTTCTGTTATTTGTTTATATGAATCTTGGTTTATCTGAAGATAACACGTTTACCCTGCTTTACCATCCCGGTTCCATGTATTAAATCCTTCCGAGCGGATCGCCTGGCGACGCATTCTATCTATCTATCTATGGATCCACGGACGCTTCCTTCTTCAGTATTCGTAGCCCACCTTTCTAACCGCAGGGGCGTGCATTGATACATCAGTATAGGTGCCCCTTCTACCACCGTATTTTTGGTTGTTCTTGGACATTCTAAGTCTTATAGAGTAAGACATATATCTAAAGCATTATTCCATAACGTCAAAACGCGGCAAGTATGTATATTTCAAATACTACTTCTTCATTGACACGCTATAACCCTGCCTAAGCAATGGCATAGTAAACGAAGATAAGGCAACATGTGTTCATAGCATAGGTTTCCCAGCCCATCCAATACCCCGACTGCCATATCTTCGTATTTCTACTTCAACCACTAGCCTTTACATATAAGTACATTGAACTCGCAAGCACCTCCTCAAAGCGTGAAGTCAAACTCACCAATAAGCTAACCGTCCCAACTCAGCACCAGAAATTGCCTCGATAGGTAATCTGAGTGCATTGACACGGTACATTACCACCACAGCAATTGTACGTCACCTCTGAACCATCCTCAACTGGTACGTCTAGGTCGTATGACCCATGGGGTGTATCGTAATGCAGCTTTCCGGGTTGATGTCTCCAATCTGTGGTTGTTGTCCATTTGGCCTTATAGCCATCATTGCAGCTTGCATCACAGGTGGTTGTCCAAGCATTACAGTTGAAGCTGCAGGTTTGGACCCCGTCATCCTTCAACTGTACGTTCCATGAGGTAGAATGTGAGACGAAAAGCGTGCCGACGACCTCGAGGCAGGCTTGAGCGCATGGGAGGAAGACGATCGAGAGAGGGAGGAGGGATTTGGGAAGCATCATGATGGCTTGGAATAGTTTCTTAGACGAAGAAGTAGTGTATTCCAGGAGATGGAATTATGACTTGGTGATTTTCTTTATGCGAAGATGAGAAGAAGGCCTAGTTTATATAACCTTGCTGCGGCTTTCAAGATTGCTGCGATATGCCCACGGCAGAGTATATCTGAACCTACATCGATCCTTCAATCTATCAAGCTTTGTAGGGTTACATCCGGGGAAGGGATTTGTGGAGGGCCATATCTAATCAACGGCTCCAGTTTCCGGAAGTGGAAAAGGTGAGGTTCCCCGGGCCGGTTATGATCTGATCTACCCCGGCTTAGCGGAGGGAATTAAATACCGATAGTATGGGGTTATATTTTAGCCAAATTGATTCTTGCTTTTAGCCGTTCACTCTATTGTAGTATGCAATGTTGTGAATTTAAGCGATATCCTAATTGGGAAAGCCGAAAATGTACAAAGTGGATGAAGCTTCGATTACCACCCGAGGATGATAATTGTCCACATATTCCTTCATTTATTTAGCTTTGTGCTTATTTTTTGATCCTACTCGACCCTCGATTGTTGCCACTTACGAATGATTCGTCTAATTTGTCTCAAAGCTGTTTAGGGCTCGGCGACTTACCGATACCATCGGAAAAGCCGATGGGAAGGTGAGATGAGATGTACTACCCGGCATATTGATAATCTACAAAGGGGTCGCATTTACTATGGATCACATTTGGAATTTTGGTATATATGTGTCTATAGTTTAGTGGGAAATTATTTCACAAAAATGCAGGGTAAAATTACCAACAAATATAGACATCTCTATGATTCCCTTTAGAGTGTAGGAACAGCAACGAACAGGATGAAGGATAGAGCCAAACTGCATAACACAAAACTAACTTATGGCACATTTACAAAAGCATGGTTAATTTGAGCATGAGCGGGTGATCACTGCTAACCAAGGGACAGGATAGAAGCAGTTATTAGATGGATTCTGCGTATAACGACCAGTTCTCTCGTGACGTACATAGGGTTAAGACCAATTCACGCCTGTTGCTTGTGAAATCTGACAATCGTCAATATAGTACGTTACGGACTGATATGTGACTGAATAATGGGATATCTTACTACTAAATTATCTTGAAAGCCTGCCCCCATCTAAATACACGACAGGGATAGGTCAAGTTATGTTGCAATTTTATATATTCTCAGTCTCATCCATTGTATTTAAGGATAAAATATAAGGATCCCCATTGGAGTTCATCTTATAGTAACTGATTACTTGAGTAGTTTGACAGGTCAACCTTCTTTCGGGGAGCGATGACCATGTCCAAAACAAACAGTAAACTGCCAAAAACCCCACCCATCCCACTCAATAAATGATAGTTTACTCCATCGGTAACCCTATCAAATGCAGAAATATATCATTCTTTAATACAGCCCGCCAGACGGGGACCTACGACTCACCATCCGAAACTCGACATCTTTATCGGTCTGCATAAGAAGGTCATTGCTCGGTGCTTGGTTCAGAAGCAAGGGTGTGTCAAGGAGGAAGCACCGGAGCACCTCGATATCCTTCACGGCATATTCCTGCTGATGGAGCTTATGCATGGAGCCTCTATGGAACATTTAAACTTTCCCATTGTTGAGGCGGCATCGGACCTCACAGGTAGAATGGCTATCGCTCAAAGCCGGGCTGCCGTGATCATCACTATTGGCCTCAAAGCTATGCGTAAGCTACATACATTCAGTCGATAATAGTTAGCTGGGAAGTATGATGTAACCTTCTCTTTAACCACTGTAGGGCCTTCGGTGAAACGTTATGTTCATTACAGGCAGCGTGCTATTTCTCTACAGGAGGGACACGAATGGAAAGCCACTCAATATGTTATGAGGTTGCGAAGGCCATCCTCAACTGGGCTAGGATGGTATATATAAAATCGGCTATAAAGTAAGTCTTGTTGATACCAAGAATATCTCCTACTGCCATATCTTCAAGACGATCATCATCTATCTTGGGAAGAGTTAGTCGTTCAAGGAGGTACAAAGCAAACTTATATTTTATCCAATAGCCAAGCTATACGCATTACCAATATCGCAAAGACCAAGCGCAAAGCCCGAAATATCCTAAAAGTGTACCCCTACTCATCATCAAAGTCAATAATTTCAACATTTAAGCCCTGAGGAATATTCACTCCCCTAAGGTCATCAACGTCGACCTCGTCCGATGCAGTCACTCTACTACAATTAGCTCTGGGTCTAGTTTCAATTATACAAGACACATACTGCATAAAATTTATCGGAGGGTAAGTGGAAGTGGAGTCGAATTGATCAGGGAACTCGAGGTTCTTGTTTTTATAAATCTCCCGCATCCTGCGCATAGATATTAGTGTGTAAGTACGGCACAGAGCCTCTAGTATCCATACTGTGCAGCTAGCTTCTTTCCATCCCCGTAGTATTGGTGGGCTAGCTCGTTGTCGTAACGGACATCGAATGTCTAGAAACCGGTTAATACAGCGATATTATAAGATTGATTATTGTATCTTACCAGACTTTTGACCATCTTGTCTTAGGTTATGAGATATAGTTCCTAAAGTAATAGATGTATGGTGTAATATAATAAAACTACTCTCAACTTAGGAGTATGCAGCAGACGGCTGACTTTATAACTTTCATCGGGGAGACTCGATCGATCTAGATCCCAGGTATTAGCTTTCTCAATAACCATTAGCTTTGCCTTAAACCGGAATTTCTTTAACCATTGTCTCTTATCCTAATCTGTTGTGGCTCGATTGGTGAGGTCATATCTGAACTTATGCTCTACGGGAACCGTGGATCACGTATCTTGTCATCTAATAATATCAATCAACGGGCATGTTTACAACATAGCTCGTTATGAATGGCTGAACGTCATTTTTGCCGTCTCGGCCCTTTCCCATTCCCGACTGTTCCGAGATCTCTATCCGGCGATCCTTTTGGTATTCTATTCCGCCCCGGGCTTTTCGGTAAATGTAACTCCGCTGAATCTATGATGATATTGTTGTAATGGGATAAGCATCTGGAAAGTTTAATTACTATATACGCTGGTACTTAACTCGTCATACATCATACCCCAAGCTTAATTGATCACAAAGGACAACCAAAGTGTCCTTCTATGCTGAAAACGTTTCAATCTGAACTTTCAACTCGAATTCTGGAAGCTTAATAAGGTTACGATTTACAAATCTGCCCCACATTGGTTAGTACAGTTGATTGCAAACCTGGCAAAATTTAACCGATGCTGTATAGTAATTGTTGACTCGAGACTATGGATGTCTAGTCATGAATGGATCATGGGTCTGTGGCGTGAGTAGTATATCTAAAACTTAGCCTAGAAACATTCTAGATTGTGATGTAATTCTTACGGTCGGTACACTAATCAAAAGGCCGTTGGATCATAGACTGGAGGTAAGGACCGTAGTAAGATACCAGGCAGGCTGTACAAATAAATTGAAGAAAAGAATGCTATCAAATACTTTCTCTATTACCTTTACCTAAATTTTATATTCTTTGATGAGGGTATTACCGGCTTGACTCATCGCCCTTCATGCTACTGAGGCAAAATACCACCGCGCAGCCCCTACAGCAGCAACAGGAGCAACCCATTTCAAGCCCTGCTTTGCCAGGCCCGCCATTCGCACCCAGAATATAATCATATGAAACCTAGTAATGAAGTCGCCTTCATTGACATGTGGAAACGGCTCATCCGGGTATTCCTTCCCTAGGAACTCGCAGAGAGTTCCCCAGCCATCCTGGACCTTGAATTCAAGTACTTCGTGTCCACGCGCCCGCGCGGCGGCATGGACCTGGTCATAGTGGGCTTCAAATCCTGTAGATAGACGGCTCGTATCCTGCCAATTCCCGCCTGTCCATACGGATAGAGCGGACCGTAGAAGTGGAATGTAAAGGCCGATGTATGTCTTGAGCAACAAAATTAGGAGCGGAACCAGAATATATAAACCTGTGGGAGGGATTGGCAGGTACCTTATCAAGAGACTCAAGCAACGCCCAGCGCTTCCAGCTCAGGATTGAATAAAAGGTCCGCTGCATAGACACGAGCCAAGAATAAACCGGACGCGTGGTCAGAACAATTTGTGCGTCGGGGTAGGCATCCATGAGCTCTTCGGCAAAGAGGATGCAGGGAATGTCAGTTACAGCCTAGCTAACAGGTCAGTGTCGCCCCACCGGGGTATATAATGAGGGTAGTAAGACAGGGGGCGGGATTTACATCGTAGCGCCAGAGCATCTGGTCAAAATCTGCGCCCGAGAACTTCCGGCCGTTGCCATTGAATTCCGCATTGATGGCTTGATTCCAGAGAGCTAGTGAGCCGTTGCGTTGGTCTAGGGAACATTCCGCCATATGATAGCAGTTGAATCCCAGTTTCTTCAACGCAACATACAGTGCTTTACGTATTGTTAGCTCTTATATGTTCGATCGGGCCTGAGGTTCAGATTAACCTACACATGGTCCCGGTGCGAGACATGCCCAGCGCGAGTACCTTCATCTTCTTCTCACGGTGAGCCGGTGGCTCCATTGGTGGGTAAGGCACGGTGCGGAAGGGGACGTTGGCCATGTTCGCGAGAGCACCAACAAAAGCGCAAAAGTCGAATAGAGCAGAACCTGAGGGTCAGTCTTGTGCATTAGTCGAGGGCATTAATATATGCTCTATTTCTGCCTGATGGTGGGAGCTGCGGGCTTAGCGCCAGCGATGTTGGTCTTTGTTTCCCTGGCGTTCAGGATCTCAATCCTTGTAGTGTTTGTTCTCTTTGCCTGCTTCTACCCTAGAAGCCAAGGTCAGCCTCGTTGTCTTGAAAAGCTTAGCAAGCTCAGATCTTGCCCTTTTCACCATGCTACTATAGTCTAGCAAAAGAGTGCGCTACTAAATTATTACACTTATATTTGCCTATTTAGCCGCGAGCATACTTGGTTGATAGTTGTATACCCTGTATTGCACCTCTTATCGAGCTTTAGAGTATTTGATAGAGACAAGCCTAGTTCAGATGCTTCAACTACTAAATCTAAAAGCACACTTCATGGCGGCAAATTCCAAATAAAATCCAAGTCCAAATGCGCCGAATCCAATCCATAGTCCAACTGGCCACTCTCATCCCAAGTGCCAAACGGTGCCATCAGGGGATCAATAGGCAACCAAAGCCAATCATCCCCACCCTCATCTAACTGCCCGAGCATAGGGTCATGCGATCCTTGGACTAGTTCCGTCTGCCCCGGTAGTGAGTCACTACTGGTATTCTCTTGACCCCCGGATTGAACACCCTTCTCCCTCTCCTGCGCCGAAGCCATAAAAGTCTGTCGCAGACGCGAAACGTGGATCTGCAATAGGGATGCATATCGCGATACAAGTTGCATGTCATCTAGTGAGCTCGATTGCAGGGTAGCGATCGTCTGTTCGAGGAGATTTAATGAGCCGTGGAGTTGCGTGGTTCGGACGCCTAGCGCGAGGGCTTTCATTAGGAAAATCGAGGAGCTGATCACCCGTAGGAAGACGCGAATGGGGAGGTATTGAATGCTTGATTGGATGAGGACCCATTGCAGGATCTCGGACGACCTATTGATTACTTCATCGATGCAGGTGCGGTCGGTCATTGCAGATTGGGTAGGTGAATTGAGGATGTTTTCGACCAGGGATTGAACTTTGATAGAGTTTGTGAACACTTGGAGATATTGGTATTCAATGTGAAGGATGGATTCCAAATGGGCGTCTGTTTTCCATATTAGCGGGATAAACAACAACAACAACAAGGATAGTGCGGCCTACTCAATGTTGGCCGGCTTGCCTGCCAACGGTATAACAAGCTGTCCCAATCTTGTGAGGACCTGATGTTCTTCCCCTGATCACCGTCCCTGGCTGTTGACGGGAAATGTGTGTCCGTAATATCTTTCGCCAACCGGGTCAAGTCGACCCACGAATCCATGAAATACATCCATTCCTCGTCTGCGCAGGGACATTCCATGACACCCTCAACCGCCTTGACTACCGGCATCTCTGGAAGAAGAGGTGTGCACCCCAACCGCGAGGCAAGTATGTTCGCAAATACGTACAGCAAAGAAGGAAGGCGGCGACGTCGCCACTCCAATTGTTCCAGGTACGCCCCAGCGTCTGACCGCATACCAGTTACATCATATTCATCCATCCTCTTCCCTTTATCACTCTTAAAAATACCCAGCTCATGTGCCAGTGCTAACGCAGTGCTAACTAACATCCACGACATCCGATCAGACCGTCTAGTAGGCTCAACGACATCTTCCTTCCAGCGATCGGACATGGGTATTTCGTCCGCTGGGGGCGGGGGGTCTCGGAAGTCTGGCTCTGTAAGAATCAGATCAGAGTCCCATCCATCATTCTCCAACGGGAAGTTTAGTGCCCGGGGATACCATTCGCACATGAGAAGAAGTGCTTCGATAGAGCCAACATGTCTTGTCTTTGCCTTTGAGAGCTTCTCCTGGCCTAGTATGATGCGGAGGATGAGATGCTGGTAGTGCTGCCATAGTCGATTATGGATAGAATATGCTCGGGAGGTACCACCGAGCCCCGGAAGAACGTGGTATCTTGACGATATCATTAATATGGTGCAGCAAAGCATGGGCTCCTGAGTTACGAGCCAGTAGTGATTCTCAGGTGTATTGTAGAATTCGGTTAAAATAGGCGAGAGGGGGAACATATTCTGGAAGAATCTGCATTCGTTAAGGTCCGGCCCTTATATTTAGCAATATGGATCCTATAGACCTGGAAAACGTACAGCTCGACGAGAACAACTGCTTCACGGGCCTTAATCCATCCCATCCTAACGAACCGACAGGCGTTCCATACTCTGAGTACATCTGTATGGATGGGACCCCGCCCTTCGCTGTAAGGACTGTTGTCTGTGGGGGTTAGTGGCGTAAATAGGAAGGGGTCTGGTATATCTCCCTGTAAGAAGAGATCAAATGGATCATTTCTAGAGGGAAGCATATGCTCTAAAGCAGTGACAATATTCCTATTGGTACGAGAGTAAGTCTCTCCATTTCCTAGGACAAAACCATCAGAACAGTTAGCTATGCTGATCAGTAGCACAAAACTCACCTTCCTGCGATAAGTTCCCTTGAACTTCTTGGGTATTATTGTGAGCAGTTGTCGAACGGGCGGCTTTCAGCATATTAGGGTCTTGATGGTTTAGAATTAGTGCACAGCCGAATGGGAGATGAGGATAAGAATATCATACCATGTTTCTCTCTTGTCCACGGTCTTTTCTCCGTAAACTGACAGTCAAGATTCATCTTCTTGCACCGAGAACACGGTGGTCGACTTTCTTCCAAAAGCTCACATTTCGCTTTTCTTTCTCGGCAAGGTATGCATGCCTTGTATGTACGGCGGTAATTATAGTCGGTGACAGCTCGACTGCGCGGCGGACGGTGCATGGCTGCATGCATGCAGTTGTAAAGTAAGTAGTAAGCTTGCGTCGGAAGAAGAGGTTAACTTATGTGGGGAAAGTTACGTGCGGAGACTTTTAAATAGCCTTTCTAATTAAAAAAAATCAACCCTAATTCATCTGCAGCCTAACTAACTACTTACGGTTACAGGTGGGGAACCGGCAGTTAAAGCGGATTACTTGCATGCCTTTAATGCCACATTGGTATAGACATGGCCATAACAGTCAGACTACCCTAAGTCAAGTACCGGAACTGTGGGTGATTGTCGCCATCCCTCGTAACATCTACGCGGACATCCGGATCTACCTTCCCGTACACTCGATCACGTCGCCTATTCTCGTGGCTCAATTTCAGATACAACCCTAATGCCAGCACTGCGATCAGACCAGTCAATGCGCACCCTATGGCACACCCTCTAACGTAGAACGGTCTGAGAGGAATACGTTAGTCGTAACCATTTGTGTAAAACAGAATCTTGTTCCAACAAAAAAGAAAGAAAAAAGTTGGAGAACGGAGAAACTCACCCTTCAGAATCCGGAAAAGCCGAACTACTCACAAAACTCGAGCATTGGCCAAAGACCGCCAATATAGCCATCCCAGCGCCCTTTTTCGAATCTCCTCCCTGGTTATTCAACAGCCAAGTGATATTAATGGACAAGGCAGGAAACACTCCGCAGGTCGCCAGCCACACTCCGAAATATCTCACCCCTGTTTTGTGCTCATCCTCCACCGCGGCGAGAATGAGATATCCAACCATTCCGACCACCGCAGAGACAGTGATGACTAATCCCCTATATCCCCATCGATCAGATATAAGGGCCGCTACGATGCAGAGGAGGAATGACCCGAAGTATGGAGGCGCCGACAGTCCCTGTGCGTTGACGGACGTGTAGCCCATTTCTTCGATAATAGTCGGAAGGAAGTTGGAGAGGCCTGCGAATGAGTAGTTGCAGCAGAAGTGGATTGTCATGTGGACGTAGTTCTTGTAGTCTGCCAGTCCTTGGAGGACCTGTTTCCATTCCATCCGATTTTTAGCAGTCTGATCGACGGTTTGGAGGCGCTCGACAGCTTGGGTTTGTTCGGTTTCAGTAAGGAATTTGGCGGTTCCGGGGGAGTCCGCGAGAAAGAAGAAGACAATAATGGAGAAAAGGACTGTTGGCGCTCCTTCTATACAATGTGTCAGTCTCGTACCCAATTCCAGTTTTCTATTCAGGGGTGGGGATATGGAGGGCCATACCAATAATAAATAAAAGTCGCCACGGTGCAATTGAATTACGGATATGAGTGATACCAAAGGCCAGTGCACTTGCAAAGCAGTTTGCCACCGGTGACATTCCCAGCAGCATGGAGACACGGAATCCAAGCTCCCCTCTCTGGTAGAATAACGATAGGAAGTAGGGTGCGCCTGCTCCAAACGCCGCCTCGAATATACCCAACAGACAGCGGCAGACAATGAGTTCCGCCAAATTGGTGACTGCACCACTGCACATGGCGGCGGCTCCCCAGCTGGTTTGATTCAGCGTTGATCAGGCCACTGGTCCCAAGGCATGCAAACTTACCAGATACAAAGAACAGCAACATAAATGTGAGCCGGAAGGATCTTCCACAAGACCGTGGTCCACTCAAATACAATGTAGCATATGTAGAATGAGTACAACACCCAGGACCATTGCTTGTCGTTGAGCCCGAGTGCTGTGTCTATACCTGCTGTCTTGGCGTTTCCGATGTTTCCTGTGTGATTCAGTCTGAGAGGCTATACTAGGAATGTGAATCAATGACACACAGTACCTCGGTCTAGATAAGATAATATATAAAGTATGCAGACTATGGGCAAAATGCGACGATCAAACTGTCCGAGTCAGCGCTGAACCCCATGTGTCAATCTAAACCATACCTTTCGGCGAATAGACGCCTGGTCTGCAGACAGCACATGGACGTGCTGGGCGTCTTTTGCATCTCGGGATTGCGCTTCCTCGAGATGAAGAGCCTCAGACTCCTTGACTTCGTTTTGATTCATTGTTGATCAAGCCCGAGTGACTAGGTCTCAATTCGACTTTGAGAAGTTGAACACAAAGTTGGAATAACAATAGTACAACGACTTAGTACCCACGCCCCCATGTCCAAGTCAATATAAATATCATATTTATACCTTTTGCAAGCGAGCTTCCCCGCATTGACCTCCCTTCCCCACGGGGTAGAGGTTATAGCATCCCCCCTAAACCGGGTATCCGGACCAGTGCGGATAATTGGCAATATCCGCAGTCAAAAATACCCGCTGGAACTATATACCCACCGATATCAAAAAAAACAGCTATATATAACGTCCACAATCACCTACCTTTGATCTCAGTATATCATCACAGAATTCGAAGACATTGCATTCCACTGAGCAATTTCACATCACCTACTTGTTCAAAATGACTCTCACCCAGACAACCCCCTACCCCTTTACCTTCACCAGCAGCGCAACGAACCAACCCCCAAGCAAAGACGCCGCAAGAGACGAAACACTCACCCTGAAGAATGTCCGCGGCAAAGTTCCCTCCCTTCAAGCCTCCACCCTCCGCACCATGATGCTAGAAGCACACTCCGACCCCACGAAGATCATCGCCCACGCCTGCTCCTACGACGGCCTCTCCTCGCGTCTTGTGCAGGAGGCCGGCTTCCCTATTGTCTTCTTGGCAGGCTATGCCGTGGCCAGTTCCTATGGACTCCCGGATACGGGGTACATTGCTATGGCAGAGATGTGCGATAAGATCCAGGAAGCTGTGCGCGCGACGGACATTCCTGTTATGGCAGACGGCGATACAGGATACGGAAGTCCGATGAATGTCAAGAGGACGGTAGAGAGCTTTGCGGCTGCTGGTGCGGCGGGGATTATGATTGAAGATCAGACGTGGCCCAAACGTATGTTTCCCTCTTCTCGTTCCTTTTCTTTCCTTTTCTTTTGTTGTTTGTTGTCGTCGATGGGGAGGGGTAGAGATAATCCGGAGACTAACGTGATATCTAGGATGTGGCCACACAAAAGGCAAATCCGTCGTCTCAAGAGGCGAAGCCTACGCCCGGGTCCAAGCGGCCGTTGATGCCCGTAACAACGGCCAAGATATCTTCATCCTAGCGCGTACTGACTCCTTAATCCACGGATGGGAGGAGGCCATGACCCGCGCGAAGGAGTTCAAGCGCATCGGTGTGGACGCTGTATTCGTTGAAGCCTTACCTGATCGCGAGGCAATGCAACAATGTGTCCAGGAACTGCAACTGCCTGTCTTTGCGAATATTATTGAGGGCGGGCTGACAGAGAATTTGTCAGCCAAGGATCTGGCTGAGCTCGGGTTCTCGGCCGTTGCGTATCCGTGGACGCTTGTGGCGGCGAAGTTGAAAAGCATTCGGGAGACGTTGGATGCGTTGAAGAGGAGTATGACTACTGGGGCACCGCCGATGATTTTAGGCTATGCGGAGGTTTGTGAAGGGGTTGGGTTCAATAAGTATTGGGTAAGTCCAGTTGGGGTTCTCTGAGTTGGCCTCCTTGAGGGTGTTTGCTGACTATTGTTTAGGACCAGGAGGTGAACTATGAGTATAATGAGAATGGATTGGTGAAGAACCGGAATGGAAGTGCGTAGCCTGGATTGCACAGCATTGGGTGCATTTAACAATTCGAAACAACATGGAATAAGCGGCTATTCTGGGCTTATATGTGGCCTCCGTCGTGGGGTGGGTAGGTTGAGGAACATTCTATTAGAATACGATAAAAATAAATGCAAGTATACGGAACCTCGATGGGATGCTAAACGAACGAGCCATGGATTAAATCTAAGCCAGGTATAATTTAGTTATCTATGTACCCGTCCTGTGCGCAATTGTCAAATTCCAAATAAATGCATTAGATCCTTAAGTGTTCATGGGTATTGTGCAATATAACATATGGGGTGTCACTATCAAAATAGAGAAAAAGGCCGCATAAAAAAAAATAAATAAATAAAAAGAACAACGGCAGGGAACAAAGCAAAGCCTAGGAAATACAGGATATCCGTCATCAATCATGCCAATGCACAGCGGTGCGCTATTATGGTATTAAAGAAAAATGCAATGCAAGGAATCAACCATCAATGCAGAAAATGCAACGAAAAACAAAAGAAAGGCCCATTATTTCTAACGGCGAGAAGCGAGTTTCCACCTGCCGCCACCCCAGGACAGGATTCCTTCCTGGATAGCCCAGTCACGCAGGGCAATGTCCTCTTTCTCTGACTCCATAACGACATCGTCTTTCTCGTAGTGGCGACCGACATGCTCCATCCGCTGGTTCCAGCTTTGAAAGCCAGCGAACTCCTCTCCACAAAAGCCACATGCGCTGCGCGAGGGCGGTCGGCGTTGTTCATGCCAGCACCGAGTGCGCACCGCCTCGAGATCCGCATCAAATTGTTGTTTCTCCTCCTCGGTGGCTTCGTTGGACTTGGCCCAGGGCGCGTGCATCCGACGTTGGTGCTGGGTGAAAAGATCTTTGCGGTTGAAGTCATTGGTGCAGCTCATAGGTCTGGCATTGCTCAGATTGTTGATGTTGCACTGGCCCACATCACAGCGATAGAATCCTATCTGGACGTGCTGTGACGTCACATGTCGCTTCCACTCATTCTTAGAAGCAAAGGAGCTAGTGCATCCATAGCGAGAGAAAGTGCAAACAAAGGTACGTCGGGGCCGTGTGCCTTTCTTTGTTTTTGACTTGGAGAGCTTCCGACAAACGCGGATAGAGTTGGCAGTAAGAGGTTCCTTCTTCTGGGAACCCTTCTGGCTGCTGTTGTTGTAACGCGTTGCCACTTTCAGACCAGTGTGCTTCTTTGCCGGCAGACGTGGGGAACTAGGCAAGGCAAATGAGTCCTGGTCAGGGGCCTGCCCTGCGCCGAGATAGCTGAGTGTGTCGTTGCCATGATTTAGTTGGCTGTGTTGGTACATGCTATGGCTGTGCATAGGGGTTGGCGCGTTGGCTGATATGGGTTCCGCGTCGAGTTGAGAATCGAGTTCAGGATCGAGTTGCGGCTCCAGTTCGAGTTCCGCGATCGGTATGGGCATGGGATAGTTCTGCACAATCTCAGATGGAGCAACTGAGGGCTCGACATTTGCAGAGGGACCTGGTGAGCAAGAAGCCCAGTGATCGAGTGGTGGCAGCATCGTGTCCGCGCAGCTGGAAGGCGGTGACATGTAGCATCCCATGTTTCCCCAATTATTGCTTGGAGAGCTTTCAGCGCCAGGAGACGAGTAGCCGCCACCAAAAGGTGAGATATCGGACACCACAGGATAGGCTCTGGCCTCTATGGTGTAAGGTGAACCAGTTTGGTTTAGGTGCACGTTTGGGCTCGAAAGAGGCATGGGCGAGGCAAGCCACGAAGTCTTCATGGTATGGTCTATATGGGATATTTGGCGTTGTATTTCGGCGGTGCGTTGGCAGAGCACAGGATCAGCAAATGAGTCCGAGTCTGGGAAGAGCTCGTAGTCCTGGGTGGAATGCTGAGGGTCGGTAAAAGAGTTGGGGTCGTCCATGATCCACGAGTTTCGGCAATCCTTTCTAGTATAATAGATAGATAGAGGGGGTTGATCGAGAACGAAGAAACACCAAGCGTCATAATTCTGGGCGATCGCGAATTTTTATTTCCAGCTGAGAACCTCGAGTAGCATGTGTCTTCACCCTAGGTGCCCGTCGAGCCGGGCAAAGCCAGAACCAAATTGAGAAAATAGATGATGATCGGCGATCATGAATGGCTGTTCTAGAGCCGCAAATCCTTTCAAAATCAAACTGCCCAAAAATTGATCGTCATCGAGTGGAAATACGTCCCCCGACACTGATGGGAAGCGCCGCCCCTGCAGCGGTCGGGAATGGTCATTTGGCGCAGACCGACCGGGGCTACTCGGATGGACCATTCGTAGCATTTTTCATGCCCCCTTTTTCTGCAAATCTTTTTTT